AATTCTAAATTTATCATTAACAATAACATTTACTTGTTGTCGTTGATTTTTAAATTAAACTGAAGAAAAGAAAGTCAAGATTTCCATTAAATAAAAAAGCTTGAAATTGAAAAACACATACGATTTATAAAATTGGGAACATTTTTTGCCTCGAAATCTCAGGGAATCTGTCAGGGGGTGGCGAATGTCCCCCGCCACCCCCCTGTATCCGCCCCTGATGTAAACTGATGAATTTAATTTGGGTTTCAAGCCAAGGCAAGCACAAGTATGTGTTCCTGGGCAATTTCAGCTGTTGTAAGTTATAATAGATCAGAAAAAAATAGTTTATTCTTGTGGAATGGATCTATTTAGAGCATTTGATTTAGTTTCATGGAACAAATTATTCCTCTTATTGATAGAGAAATATGTCCTCTCATCGTACGATATCACACTCTAATCAAACATGTATCTACTGTAATGAGGGTTCAACAATTTCTTATAGTTTTCAAGTAAAAGACGGAGGTCTAAAGGTACAGTTTTGTCACCAATCCTGTTTGAATTAAAATTTATAAACTTTAAAAACATTTACGAGCATCAACTATGTTTCCAACGTAATAGATTATTCACTAACGCGAAATTGCGTGCAGTTATGCAAAATAATTTTCATTTCGTGTAATTTTGCAGGATTATGTGTAATTGGCGAAACTTTAATTTCGCAAAATTATGACGTGATTTCTACAAAGTAATTGCGCAAAAGTTTGTAATAGTCATAACATGTAATTAGCGAAACTTTGATTTCGCGAAATTACGCCGTAATTTCGCCTAATTTTTACAGAAGTAATTTCGCGAAATGTTGCAATAATTATGTCTAATTAGCGAAACCTCCATGCAAACCAACCTACAGGAGAACATTTTAACCTTCATGGACATGAACTTAACTATTTAAAAGTTAGCGTAATATAGAAGGTTTAAGACCTTGGGAGAAGTTTACTTGAAGTACGAGAATCTATAAATACATCAGAGATTTTATAACTGATCTCAGAGGAAAAAAATAGCTTTTATTTGATTGTAAACTGTAATTCAGTATTTCTTTAAAAAGGGAGTATTGTTTATTTCCAATTCTTAAAAAGGATTAAAAATCCCACCTTAGACAAGCCGCCTCCCCTGATTAGGTAAAAATTCGTTAATTAGATCGACCCTTACCACCATTTTATATACAGAAACAATCTCAAGAAATAATAATTCTCTTAAAATATTCTTTTAAAAGTGAATATTTGCACATAATCTTTTTACCTTTTTACCATTTGACAGTCCATTAAAATTTTGTTTAAATAAACTTTGTTTGTTTATTTTCTTGTGGTTTTTAACATTGATTTTGATGGTTATTTTATCGTTAGAACTGACGAGGGTCAACCTAGACCGAAATATATTTTCAATTAAATGTGGAATTAACATATACTTTTTTGATCCATCACCGAATTTTAATTCAATTTGAAAGTATTTAAATTATACAATCAGTGCTGGGAACTTTAGAATGGTGTATATCAGGATTAATGCTTAATCCTCTGTTTTTGCTAATCTCGAGATTATGTTAGTCTTGAGATTAAATATTTAGATCAACAAATTGGATTCTAGGAACGCCAGATTTGTTGGTTTTCTTGACTGAAAGGGTCCTCACTTAATTTCTCACCCATTTATTTATTAATACATTAGTTAAAATTGGTTACAAAAGAATCTCAAACGTATTATTAAATATTTTTCTTCACTGATTAATTTACAAAATGGCCGACAACAAATTCTTGATTTGTTAGAAATTGCGGATTTCTCTCATGGGATAGAATTTACGAACTATAAATAAATAAATATAAATAATGTAAGGATATCCAAAGAGAGAGAAAAAGAGTGGATTAAGGACTGAAATTAAAAGTTTCCACAATGGATATTCGGATTAAGTAGTTGGGATTAGAGGTTATCCATTCTAAAGTTCTCAGAGTTGGGAACTTTAGAATGGTGGATATCAGGAATAATGCTTGATCCACTCATTTTCTTAATCGTGAGATGAAATAATGCTTGTTCTCCTCTTGTTATTAATCTCCAGATTAATTAACCGATCGGGATTTAGGATATTCCATTCTAAAGTTTTCAGCTCAGTTCAGATTGGACATGGTTGTAGCGCACATATTTTCGCGCTATATTCATTTCTGAAAATTAATATGTACTTTACTAATTACGACATGGTTTTGTATTACGTAATTTTGTTTAATTACGCCATAATTACGTGAAACTATACTTTCTTTCGTATACGTAATTAACACATAATTTCGCGGAATGCTCCTCCGTAAGTGAAAGAAAGTGTTACGCGTAATTACGCGTAATTACCTGTAACGTAATTACAACTAGCATCAACCATTGGTTGTCTGCTACATGGTGTTTATATAATGGGATACGAGCGTCTACGCAGACAATATTATTCAAACAAATAACAAAAATCTTTGAACGCTTTGCAGATATGTTGTGAAACTAAAACCAAAATTTGTAATATTCTCTAAAAGTGTTATTCATGTGAATGATGTCCGTCCAATTATGCTAAACAATTTATCATTATCATTTGTTAATTAAATTAAACATCTTGGAATGTGCTCCAGTCCAGTCATATAATTAACTGACTAAAGATTGTAGCATTACGAGAGCTTGCTTTATTTCAAAGATACACTCACTTGCTTTATTTCAAAGATACACTCACTTTATCAAGGGTTCTACTTTTCTGATCCAATGAATTTAATGAAATATACACAACTAGGCTTTTAGGGCGCTTCGCGCCCATCTTCTATTTAAATTGTGAACATGTTCTTTTTGTTTACACTTAGAACAAAGAAGAAAAGATTTTGCGTATTTTTAAAAAATCGCGAATTTTCAAGAATTTAATTTTTTTTTACAAAATTAAAAACCTTTAAAACACATTTTTTTATTTTAATCATTCATAAACCTTCCCTGTGGTCACGTGATGTCCCAAAAAAATTTGGGCCCGATCGGTTCAGCCGTTTTGACGTTTACTGGATACAAACAAACAGACACCCAAACAGCCAAATTTATATACAGATGATACATGTAGTTTTCGTGGTTCCTATCTATCGGACTTGTATTGTAATAATGTTATTGGATTTTATTCATCATGGAATATGGTTACAGTAATATTTAACCTACCTAGAGAAGCCCATAGATATTTTATTGAACCAATTTCAGAAAACCATCACTTAAAGACCATGCTGTGTTTACGTTTTGTATCCTTTTTTCATAGTTTACAGAAAAGTAACAAAATCGCTATCCGATTGCTTTCTTATGTTTTTCCGAAAAATCAATGACTACTCTTGGCAAAAATATTTACAACATTGCACAAAATTGTTATTGTAATTTGAATGATCTAAAAAAATAGAATGTAAAAAGTAATTTAACTTTTGCAAAAGTTTCCGATGAACATTTTTGGAAAATTCCATTTTTAAAGAAATTGTTAGCCATTAGATGAAATGATTTTGAATTTCCCAGTTTTGAATATAGTGTTTTGTATATAGTCTTTAATTGCATATATCCGTTTATTATATCTATTGTATAAGGCGAAGAAGGCAAGATACACCCATATAGCCTCTTATCTACAATTTCCTCACAAACATAGACTTGCTGCAAAGCGCTCACCCATAGTGCTTTCGATGGTGTATTTTTGAACCCCCTAGCCTGTCCTTGGCCGCAGCGCTCAACCAAAGTACAAAAATCTATTTTGTATCAATTAGTAATTTATGGCTGAAATTATTCATTAAAAATCAAGACAAAGGACTTGAGTCTTTGTCACAAACTCAAATTTTCTAATCCTTATATCTTAGCAGCTTCATGGTGCAAACCTTTGATATTTCAAACTTTTTTGATCTACCAGAACTCATAGTTTGAAATTGAGTTTCAAAAATTTAGGTATTAGAAAATTTGAGTTTGTGGCAAAGACTCAAATCCTTTTGCTGAAAGATTTATGGGTGTGGCTTAGGAAGCGCTACGCGCGACGGGTAAGCGCTTTGACAGGAGTCTATGTTTGTGAGTAAATTGTGGATAGGAGGCTATACTAGTGTTGCTTGCCTTCACTTCGTCTATATTGCGCGGTGCATTTCGCAAGTTACTTTTGCAGAGAACCCGCAAATGAAAATAACCAGAGCTGAGCTGAAAACTTTAGAATGTGATATCCTTAATCCTGATCTGTTAATTAATCTGAGCTGAAAACTTTAGAATGAAATATCCAGATATCCCGTCGAATAATTAATCTGAAGATTAAAGTCATGAGTTTTCAAAGCAATATTTAATCTCGAGATTAAGTAAAAGAGTGGATTAAGCCTTAATCCTGATATCCACCATTCTAAAGTTTTCAGCTCTGAAAACTTTAGAATGAGATAACTTTAATCCCGATCGATTAATCAATCTGGAGATTAATAACGAGAGAAGAACAAGCATAATTTAATCTGGAGATTAAGAAAAGAGTGGATTAAGCATTAATCCCGATATCCACCATTCTAAAGTTCCCACCTCTGTTTGAAAAACAATTAAAAATATGGATATCTAATTCACAATTGATCAAACAAAGCTTTTAAGGATACTGTTATTAATAGAGCAGAGAGCATGGAGGGCTACTTGAAATTACGCTTACAGTTAGTTTAATATAAATTTAATTTTTAATTTTTGTTCCTTAATTTTTAAGTTTTTATTACTGAAAGCAACCAATATTGAAAGTAGCATAACCATATTTTAAGTAAATTTTTGATAAAAAACTTTAAGTTGTTTCCATAGCTCCGTTTAATTCTGTGCTGAAACTTTCAATTTTGGTCAAAATTCTTAAAAATATCATGATCTGCGGGAAAATTTACACTTTAGCATAAAAACTTCTTGATTTGCGCAAATTACGAAAAAAAATATTGCGCTTCATGTACAAAAGTTTACAAAAAAATATGGTAATTTTGTGGAAACCCTATTTATCTTAAAGTGCTTACCGACTTTCCCTGTTTTGCTGAATGTTTTCTCGAAGAGACTTTTCCAACGTGTCCAATAAAACTGGAACGGAGTAATTCCCCTTTCCTGTGATATCAGCCCCCTGCAACCACTTTTGAAACACTGTTTTTTCGAGAACAAGTGCACAGGAGTTTATGCTTGCCGAAACCTGCTGGCTTGACACCTTAATTAGTACGACAAGGATAAAAAATTATATAATTAATTAATGTTATATCTATGGCTGGAATGATTGACCCTAATTTAACCAACTGTCATACACGGTGTCCCGTAAACATTGTTGCTCTCATAATATATTATTTATATATTTATTTAAATTGAACAAAAACATACATCCTATATTAATCCCTTCATGACTTCAGGTCTGTTAGTCTCCAGAAAACGTAATCTCAAGCTTTACAAAATTTCAAAATCCAAACCGAATCCGGAAAACATAAAAAAAACGTATCAAACTTATAGAAGTATTTATAATAAAACCTGCGGCAAAAGTAAACAAATGTATTTTGTGAAAAAAAATTATAATTCTAAGGGCAATTCTAAGAAGATTTGGGACACATTGGGGGCAGCCATGAATAATAAAAAAGTGGAACTTCAAGCGTAGATCAATGATGAGATTTGCTCAGATGAAATATTGATAGCTAATGCTTTTAATGATTTTTTTCTCAAATTGATTCTAAGGTATCTGATAGTGTCCCCCCGATAAACTCTAATTACTGGGACTTTTTGCCACCTCGATGTTCTAATACTTTTTTTATAGATCCTGTAGTTCCGTATGATATTGCTTCAACAATTTCTCAGCTTGAAAAGAAATTTTCTAAATATATAAACGGTATCTCGATAAATTTCTTATGCACAATCTCTTTCCAAAGGAATTGAGTCTTTGCAGCAAATCCTAATTTTCTAATACATACATAACATAAGTCATAGTTTGAAATATCTAGGGTCTATGACATTGGGTTGTAAAGATATAGGAATTTTAAAATCATAGTTTGTGGCAAAGACTCAATTCCTTTGTGTATCTTGGTATATTTAATCTTTCTGTTCAAAACGGAATATTTCCTGATAATATGAAAACCTCCAGAACTATCCCTGTTTTTAAGAAATCTGGTTCACCTCTCGAAATGAAAAACTATAGACCCATAGCTATTATCAATGCTTTCTCCAAGATTTTTGAAAAAACTATTTCTAAAAGACTTGTTACTTTTTTGACACAAAACAATTTTTTCTTTCAAGAACAATTTGGATTTCTCCAGGGTCGAAGTACAAACCATGCTGTAATATTATTACTTCTGCTTTAAATGAAGGGAAATATTCAATTTTAGTTCTGCTTCATGTACAAAAGGCCTTTGATAGTGTTAAACACTCTATTTTACTTTACAAACTTGAAAATGCAGGTATCCGAGGGGTAGTCTTAGACTGGTTTAAAAGTTATTTATCTAACCTTGCAAGCAAAAAGTTCAAGTAGGCCGATCCAAGATATCAGAAAATACTTCTAATTTGAATATTGGCGTAATCCAGGGTTCTATCTTAGGAGTTATCCTATTTTTAATTTCGATAAATGAAATTTCCAATTGCTTGCTCTTTTTTTACGATCTGTTCTGGTTGCCGACGACATTTCATCTATCCTTTCTGATTCTAATTTTAATAATTTGGTTTCATCTGTTAATACTGAACTATTTAAACTATCTTCTTGGTACAGAGCTAATGGTTTATATGTTCATCCAAAAAAAATCTAAGTTTATCATCTTTAAGCCTACAAATTTCCACTTGCCGGAAGAAACTAACATATTTTTCAACAACAATGATCCTGGTGAAACGGATTCATTTAAAAGGAATTGAGTCTTTGTCTCAAACTCTGATTTTCTAATTCCTATATCTTTAAAGTTCAATGTTGTAGACATGTGACATTTCAAACTATGACTTCTGTTAGATCAAATAATATCGGTTTGAAATATCAAAGGTTTACAACATAGGGTTCAAACGATATAGGGATTAGAAAATCAGAATTTGTGGCAAGGACTCAATTCCTATCTAAAATCCAGCGAATCTCCGACACTTCTGAAGAAAAGTCTGTACGGGTTCTAGGGGTTCTTTTAGACGAAAAACTTAAACTACACTCCCATGTTAACTCTATCTGTTCAAAAATCTCAAGGTCTATTTATTGTCTAAGCCAGGTTGAAAATTTACTTGACATAAGTTGTCTTTAGCTTATTTATTTTGCGCATATTCACTCCCATCTTAATTATTGCAGTTACAATTTTTCTCTTCTTTCTAAAAAGGATCTTATTAGAGTTCAGACCCTACAAAAGAATGTGTACGTCTATAGTCTGCAATAAGAGTTATAATTCTCACACTAACATTGAGAGAAAATTACTTTATATCCACCAGGTTTGCCTTATATGATTTATGTTATGCTGAGTGACCCGTATTGCATCTGATTATTCTTTGATCTTATAAAAAGATTTTTTCGTTCTCTATTGAATTGTAATGGGATGTTTTCTGTTTTAGATTGAACATTACAAATAAATTCTTTCTACATTACTGATCTGTCCATTATGAGTGTCAGAGAGAAGGTCAATGTTCCTTTCTGCCCTATAGTAGAGCCCAAGGACTCTCCAAAAACGTATAAAATGTTATAGATTTGTGTCACAATAAGATCATAGAGGGGGAGGGCCATTTGCCCCCCCCCCCCCAACTGAACCAGTCATGAATCCAAACGTCAGGATAAATAGGGTTAAAAGTCAAGAAATTTCAAAAATCAGAGTGGTAGAGTCAACAAAATAAAGTGGTTGGGGAGGGAGTGAACCCCTGCAACACAATGAGCCTCGGCCATGCAGACAGGAGCCTCCCTGCAGTACGATCATTTCAAGCCTCCACTATGCAGTAAACAAGCCTCCGCTATACAGCACAGCTTATTTATAACTCTTGGTTTTTACATGTAATAATACTTGGAAATTCCTTTCTAAATTGAAATTAGTTTTTGTTTTTAATCTTTGATTTATTGGATTTTTTTTAAAATTCAGATTAATTGGAAATGTTATAGAGGACGTGAGTCAGACTCTAATAAAACGCATAAATAACTTCCAGTATATATATTTCTTATAACTTATTACTAGAGGGTTCAGAACTAGAGTCAATATCGATATCGCACGTGTAGACTGTAGAGATCATATCAGTACTAATGCCCCGTATCCGTTCTATCTCATTCTGTTGAATCTTGTGGAACTAGTTTAACGCGGCCAGGCATCGTCTTCCACAATGTAAAACTTTTGATTATTTTAATCTGATAAAAAATTTAAAAGAAGGTATCACTTAAATCAAAGTTTATAAAATATCAAATAAAATTACTTCTGGATTTTTTCGGATTTTCGGAGTTCAAAAAATTCTTTACTACATGTAAAAAACCAAAAGTTTTAGGGAAGCTATTCTGGTTTAATGTATTGCGGAGGCTCGTACTGCATGGCAATTCTGGGAGGCTCGTGTTTGCATAGATGAGGCTCATGAATCCGGGGGGTCATCTCCCCCATTTCAAAAAAGGACCGTATAGTTTCACTTGGCCCCTCTCTTTTTTAAGAATAGAAACTTAAAAATACTATCAACGTAATTTTAAGAGAGTGACACTCCATTTAAAGATTGGTGCATGCCTGATTCTTAATAATTCATTTTAAATTCATATTTTATTTTGACATTCTTCAAAGTCATGAATAACCAAATATACTTAATACCTAATCTACCGCTGAATATGGTGACATGGAAACGGAAACGACTCAACACGGAATCGGATCAAAAATAAGCGACCCCTCGGAAATCGCTCTAAATTCAAATTTTGAGGAGTTTCCTCTTTTTTTTGATCGATTTTCCAGAATTGTATATCCGTTTCCCCTTTATTTTATTTAAATATTTTTGAGGGATTTCCCAATATTTTTGAGGGGATTCCCAATATTTTTGGTCCGTTTCCTCATATTTTTGATCCGTTCCCGTTTTTTTTCAAAAACTTTAAAAATCACTGTTTGTTGATCGGTTTCCTCAAATTTTAGGTCCGTTTCCTCACAGTTTTGATCCGTTTCCGCTTTTTTCAAAACTTTAAAAATCACTGTTTGTTGATCGGTTTCCTCAAATTTTAGGTCCGTTTCCTCATATTTTTGATCCGTTTCCGCTTTTTTTTAAAAACTTTAAAAATCTCATTTTGTTGATCGGTTTCCTATAATTTTAGGTCCGTTTCTTCATATTTTTGATCCGTTTCCGCTTTTTCCAAAAATTCTTTAAAAATCTCATTTTGTTGATCGGTTTCCTCAAATTTTAGGTCCGTTTCCTCATATTTTTGATCCGTTTCCGCTTTTTTCAAAAACTTAAAAAAACCTTAATTTATTGAAACGCACCAAATAGATTAATTATTTTTAAGGGAACCCAAGGGTATCCTGGTAGGAACATCGGCTAAAAAAATAGATTTTTTAATTTGAAATTTAAGTTTTCTTAAAATTTCGTTTATTTAATTGCACGGGCAACGCCTGGCACTTCAGCTTGAATTAAAATCTGGCAAAGAAAGAAACACACAATTTTACAGCTACAGGGAACCCTGAATGTTATACAAGTTTTGACTTTAGTTCGATGAATATAAAACACAACAATTGTACAGTGTGCACTGATCATTTCTTTTTTTTATTTTAGGCTACTGAAAGTAAGGCCATTTTTGTTGTTATAACATCAAATACACTTGATACAATATTACTTTAATGTCGTCTTTCTGGTTTTTCCTGTATAGAATTGTATTTTTAATCCTTAAAAAAATTAGTTTGAAAAAGTTATTTAAAGATTTAAAGAACGTATATCGTTTAATGAACGTGTACAGAGTGTCCCAATAAACACGGGAATTCAGTGACGAAATCGATATCCTCTTTGTTATGAATTAGCAGTGTAATTCCTAATTTCTAAAACCATAATATTATTATGTCTGCTAGAGTTTTTTTTAGTGAAAACGGTACATGACTATTATAAAGATTTGTCTATATGTCTCTGCAAGATGAACAGTGAAGACGGACAAGTTTACTCTGTTAGTTTACTGTAATTTTTTTGTTTTACTAAGTACAACCGTATGCATGGTCAAAACATAAACAAACAAATTGTAAACATAGCAGAATTCGTCACTGAATTCCCATGTTTGCTGGGACATCCTGTATGAAATCAGTATTTTTTTGTATTTTTCAAATCTTTTTTTTATTAGCTGTATAAATTACAATCAAAGGTCATACACTTTTGTATATGTTTTTTTGATCTTGATACATGCTCATTTAAACTCTTTTTCGTGTATCAAGCAAGATATTGTTCCTAGTGTGAAAGGTTTAAACAAATCAGTACACATATTTAGTCCTTTCTGTGGAATCAGTGATACATTATTTCATCAATATTTTATAAAAATGTTACATTGAGAACCACAAAACTGTGGAACAGGAAGACAACTTTTAGACTAATTGTGCAGTGTGCTCAAACCCATTTCACATAACAACCGATTTTTAAGGTTTTTGTAAAACCATTTACTGTATAACAATTCATTACATATGCAGATAATTGTTAGTTTTTTGAACTGGAGGATTTAAAGAAATTCTCATAAGAAAATAGATCAGAACAGAAAATTACGAATTTTTTTATAATAATTTTGCAAATTTTCTGTGATTCTGTGATTCAATCTTAGAAATAATATATTTACACATTTTTGCCTTTCTGAACCTTTGATTTTGCGAGAAAAAAAGGTACACTGAATTTTTTTAACCATTCGATTACAAAAAGATATAAAATGTCAAAAACTTTAAAAAGTCCCCCCCCCCCGAATTCTTATACAATTAATTCCCTGATCTGTGCAGGGGAAAATCTGTAGACTTAGCATTATGATAGTGGAATCTAGCTTCTCTGTTTATAGTTTTTTCTTGAATTTCAAGATGAAAGACGACTTTTTATAAACGTCTGTAATCAACAATATTTTTTAGGGAGCGTGCACACTATATTTCAAAATTGATTAGTTTTTTCTTGTATTTCAAGATGAAAGACGACTTTTTATAATCGTCTGTAATCAACAATATTTTTTGGGGAGCGTGCACACTATATTTCAAAAAAGACGAAAATGAACTAGACAAAAGTGAACTTAGACGAAAGTGTACTAGACGAAATGTTACTGAGCCTTTGTTATGAATTAGCAGTGTAATTCCTAATTTCTAAAACCATAATATTATTATGTCCGCTAGAGTTTATTTAGTGAAAACGGTAAATGACTGCAAGATGAACAGTGAAGACGGACAAGTTTACTCTGTCTTGTTTTACTAAGTACAACCGTATGCATGGTCAAAACATAAACAAACAAATAAAAAAAATAGCAGAATTCGTCACTGAATTCCCATGTTTATTGGGACATCCTGTATGAAATCGGTATTTTTCATATTTATCAAAGATTTTTTTATTAGCTGTAGAAATTACACAGAAAAGACAAAAGGTATTAAAGGTACTTAAAGGTATATGTTTTTTTGACCTTGATACATGCTCATTTAAACTCTTTTTCGTGTATCAAGCAATATATGGTACCTACTGTGAAAGGTTTAAACAAATTAGTACACATATTTAGTCCTTTCTGTGGAATCAGTGATACATTATTTCATCAATATTTTATAAAAATGTTACAGTGAGAACCACAAAACTGTGGAACAGGAAGGTAACTTTTAGACTAATTGTGCAGTGTGCACAGACCCATTTCACATAAAAAACTGATTTTAAAGGTTTCTGTAAAACCATTTGCTTTATAACAATTCATTACATATGCAGATATTTGCTGTCGTCTTAATATTCCACAGTTTTAAGGGTCTCACTGTAGTTTATATCTGTAATATTTCAAGTAGCATTATTTGTTTGTTTTTTGAACTGGAGGATTTTAAGAAATTCTCATTAAAAAAATAGACCAGAACTGAAAATTAAGAATTTTTTATTACAATTTTGCAAATTTTCTGTGATTCTGTGATTCAATCTTACTAAAATTCTAGATTTTGATAGAAATAATGCATATATACACATTTTTGCTTTTCTGAACCTTTGATTTTGAGAGAAAAAAAAGTTCACTGATTTTTTTAACCATTCGATTACAAAAATAATATAAAATTTCAAAAATTTTAAAAAGTCCCCCCCCCCCCGAAATCTTATACAATTCATTCCCTGATCCGTGCAGGGGCAAATCTGTAGATTTAGCATTATGCTAGTGGAATGTTTATAGTTTTTTCTTGTATTTCAAGATGAAAGACGACTTTTTATAATCGTCTGTAATCATCATTATATTTTGGGGAGTGTGCACACTATATGAAATAATTTAGTTTGACTGAGAGTTCTCTTTGTTATTATAAGAATTTGGTATATTATTGAGCACAGAGCAAACCCTTCAGCGATTAAAAAATGTCGTTTTTTTACTTCAAATTCTGAAAATACTCTCGGTACTCCCCTGCGGATACCAAAAAAAAGATCATTTAAAAGTTTTTGACTAAGAGGAAATGGATCCTAAATATGAGGAAATGGACATAAAATTTGAGGAAACCGATCAACAAAATGAGATTTTTAAAGAATTTTTGGAAAAAGCGGAAACGGATCAAAAATATGAGGAAACGGACCTAAAATTATAGGAAACCGATCAACAAAATGAGATTTTTAAAGTTTTTGAAAAAAGCGGAAACGGATCAAAAATATGAGGAAACGGACCTAAAAATATGAGGAAATTGATCAAAAAAAGAGGAAACCATTCAACTCTAAATATTGGGAAACGGATACAAAATATTCGGAAATCCCTCAACAATTCTGAACTTTTGAATTTTCGAATTTCTAAAAAAACGGAAATTCCTCAAAAATAATTTTTGATCTGTTTCCGTGTTTAGTCGTTTCCATGTCACTGCTGAATATACCGGTTTTACCAGTCAATTCGTGACGCTAATGAATTTAAATTCACAAAAAGCATGGCATGGAACACACGTGGTGAAAAAATTGCAGCAAAAATTTTAACTTAAAAAGTCAGATACAAATACAGTAATCAGACATAAATTACAAAGTAAATACTGTTAAAAAATAAATAACTTTCCAACTAGAAATTATCTGAAATAATTTTTTATGCGGATAAGACTAGAACTTTGGTAATTATTTAATAAAAGATCCATGGACCCCCCCCCCCCTCAACTTAAAAAAAGCAACCTCTGCTGCTCTTGCTTTCTTAGAAAAAGGGGCAGGGGGGTTTAAACAGACTATGAGAGAATAGAGCCAAACATTTTTGAAAGGAAGGTTTATAAATATTTTTTTTAATTAAATTATGATAGCTAGTGGGGCTCAGTTAAATCAATGGTTTCCAGGGGGTACAAAAACGGGTGCTGGGACCCCACGGCATTAACACATTCTTTAACTAATAAATTACCTGATCATTTCCCGTAAGATCTTTTTCCCGAAGCAAAAGGGCTAAACGATCAATATCAACTATTTGATTACCAATTGCCTTGTTTAGACTAATCATAAGCGAAGTTTCATCCCTATCAGACCACATTCTAAAGTCATAAAAGTGATATAAGGACTTTAAAACTTTATATTTTAGTTAAGTAACCATACTTGCTTCGTAGAGATGAAGTTTTTCTTTCTATCGGTCTACTAATTTTCCTCTCATTTGACAGTAAATTGGTGCTGTTATTGTAACTTTTTTGTTGTTCAATAAACATATTTTCATTTCCTTGCTTTTCAAATCTTCTCATTTCAAGAAAATTCATAAATTTTTCGTAGTTAGTACTTCCAACAAACTTGGGGTCTCTGAATCGCCTGTGAAGAAATGGAAGGGCAGGGCCAATTGGAACTTTGTATTTCTCAATGAGGGCATTAATAGCTGCAGGAGCGAGAATTCGATCTCGATCTATGTCTAGTTTTCTCATCTCCATTAACATCACGCTAAAAAATTCAATATCTCAACATTTATACTCGTTTAATCTATTTAGATGAAGAATTTAAAGCAAACAAAAAAATTTTTGAGCTTTTTTTATACCTAAGTGTTCTTTCAGTAACTTTATCCAGCCTTTCCTTGCAGAATGCTCCAAGTTGCTCTTCTTTTTCCATGTTTGCGTCAACGTCATCCTCATCTTCACTCTTAAAAAGTATATGCCTTCCAAAGAATCTGTTCATGATTTTTTAAATAATATTGATTAGGGTTTTTTTGTTCTTTTTCTTGTTGTGGGCACAATTTTCAAATTTGTTATTCCAAGATGCATTATCCTTACTATTGATTTGCTGTCAATTCTTTGTTGATATTTTTATGCTAGTCTATTAGTATGATATTCTGTGAAGAATCAACATTATATCCCAAATAATTAGTACAAACTAACATATTTACAATTAGTCAACAGATAAATGATATAAGTAGGGTTTTATACTAAAATTTCCAGTATATCTGAACAAATTATTCAACATGAAATGTTTAATTAGACTATAACATTCAAGCTCGCTAAAATTTTCAGAAAAATTAGATCATTAAAACAAATTTTCATGCATACAATGTTGAACACGTTCATTCTCAGTATAGATCTCCCAAGATATAGATCATCTAAAGAGATTCAGAAAAGGTTCATTGGAATAAGGTTTGATTGAAAAATTACAAAAAAGAGAGCTTTAGTATTTCTAAGCCGTACAACACACTTATGAACTAACAAAATATTTTTTTACCTACCAATAAAAAGTTATGACCGATTGGAGGTAAAATTGGAAAGGATGATATAGTTGATGCAGAACTTAAATCTTTTCTGTCCTGCTTTTCTGAACAAAAAATACGTAGTAACTTTTAAACCCCCCCCCCCCCAGCATATCCTGGTTTTCAAGTACCCCAGCAGGGACAGGGTTAAAGCAATTTGTAAAATTAAGCTTTTTATCCTTTTTTCTTGATTTTTAACAAAAAAAATCCTACTATGAATTAGGATTCTTGTAAGATAAAACATGATGGCTCACCGGCATAGGGTCAAACGACAAAGGGTCAAAAACGCTACAAAGAGTAAAACGACAAAGGGTCAACATAATTAAAAATATTTCATGCATTATTTCAGGGTTAGTTTAGGTTAAGACATTTTCTGGGCAGAGTGCTGCAGCTAGGACTGGCTGGGGGGCCGATCGCTGCTGTTAGTAATTCAAATGAATATAAAATTGAATCAAATTAACCAAAAAAATAATTTAAATGAATTTTTGCCCGTTTGTCGCACTTTTTGACCCTATATCGTGTTACCCTTTGTCACGTTTTTGACCATTTGTCCTTGTACCCTAGTTCGTTTTACCCTATGTCGTTTTACCCTATGTGGTTTGACCCTATGGCATTTGACCCCAGGTTGTTTGACCCTATGTCGGTGAATCAACAAAGTAACTTCTTGTAATAAGTAGAAATCAACTGAAAGGCATTCATACATTTAGATTCAATAAATACCGAAAAAAGAAACATAAGAAATATTCATAAAAAGAACAATGCTTGGAAAGATTTCTTTAAGAACATTGTTTTTCTTCGCAAAATTATATAGAAAAAAGAGAGAAAATGAGAAAATATTTACCATTATTTTGAGACCCCTTTTCTTCCAGCTTATTATCATCTATTTCTAAGTCGTCATCAGAAGAGAATTTATTTGCAAGATCTTTTTCTCGCTCTTCTAGGTTTTTCATGGAAATATCGAGGGTGCTCTTCTCTCTTGATATTTCATCAACCACTGTCATGCATCATTCGAATTGTCAAAAAGTAATTTGGCAGAATCAAGTCGTTTTTGAGAAATGAAATATTTCAAGTATCTAACTAAAACAAATTATATTGAAAAAAAATATTCCCACCTTTCATCTGTCCAACTTCTACAAATCTTCGAATGTGAAGCTATAAATTCGCCAAATCATATTTGAGGATTAGCAATAATTATAGTTTACAGAGTTTTCAGTATAGTAGTATTAAAAATAAATAAATTAAAAGTAAATAAACGAAGAGGTTTAAAGTTTTATCAACCGGTAAAAAAGACCCATTGCTAAAAGTACTAAAAGAGTTGTTCAAGATAAAACATCTTGAAACCCAAATGCCCAACCATTAAACGAAAACAATTCTTTTCCTTGTTTGTTTTCATGCACATATCTTTCTTCTCTTAGCCCGGATGATTTCTTAAATATAGATTTAACTTTAAAACATATTTGTCGAGTAACATAATAAACCATTGCACAAATACAAAATATCCAATTATAACACATTTGTAGATTGTAATTTTCAATAACTTAAGTGTCGGAATTTGTGTTTATAAGTACAAACTTAGTTCATATTATACAAGACTAATTTAGGATGCATATCATCATCGTTTCATACATCTTCTGCACCATTTGCCTCAAATTTTGATTGGGGAACTCGGTAGAACCCCGGGATACGTCTGAGTTAGGTGTGTTGACTTTTGAAGAGAAAACTCCAAGCTAGTAATACATCTGAAGCCATTTATTATGTCTTGTCTTTACTCTATTACTCATCTTAGAAAGTAGTAATATCATAAAATTATGATATTTCAAGTTTTATGATTTCCTTGTATTTCAAAAAGTTTTTCTAAAATCTTTAGAGTAGATTTGAATTTTAGAAAAAATAACATGTAACAGGTAAAGTGTGCATTAGCTCAGAGGCAAATTTGTCTCCTTATCGTTTTAAATTATGATAAGATTGGATGAAATATTCTAATGTATTGGGTGTATGAATTACGCTCCATAAGACTATCAAAATGGTTGCAGTTTTAATGTGGACATTGTGTTAAAATCTAGGTAACATTTCCCTTCAATGGAATCTTTTTATCGGTTAGTATTAGTTCAACTTATTCCAACTTTTTAGGGTCCAAGGTTTACCAAACCCTCATTTGGAATCACACACCTTCGTTCCAAACCGCACCACTAGGATTTCAAACCCTTCATTTTCGTTAGTTATTTTTTATTTAAATTTACTGACCAAGAATAAGTTTACTTTTTTATCTGGGAGTTTGATCAGTTACACCACTTTGAGAAAAGTTTTGAAAGTGCAAGGTAATTTAAGTAACTTAAAATTTTTATTTTCCCTGTAAATATTATCAAAACTGTATTTCTATAAAGTCTTTATTTTAGGATTACATAATTGTATCCACATTTGATACATCTAATAACTCTCGTCAAGGTCCTCATTCCCATTTTCCCCCTTAATTGCTTTCATGGTCTTCTACTTAGAGTTAGGATAAAGGGTCGTGTTAAAATACTTTTAATTTACACTTTTTACATTGTTCTTTTTACACTCGATTAAAGAAATGCAAAAAAGTAATGTCACTTCAGTAAAATGTCATCAGTTATGTTAGGTTTGGTTAGATGATGCTCAGGTTGGGTTGCATGAATTTCTTAGCTTAAAGTATCGTTATCTGCACATGTCAACATAAAATCCATAATAATGCATTTTTTCATTCACTTATATTTTTTTCCATTATCTATCATTTCATAACCCTTAGATATTATTATACACATAAAAGTGTTTCTTCTTTTGAGACTTAGTGGAATACAGCTGGAAATGGTATGTAAATTTTTTAGGTATTATTAGAGCAGAAATATTTAGTGTTTTTACATTTGTTTGTAATTAGAATATAACATTTACTATTATTGAATCCCTCAGGGGTTTAAATTTTCATTGTTTCTATTTCTTCGGAGAGTAGATTACATTCTTTTGTAAAAAGCTGGTTTTAACTGGAAATGCTATGTAAATTTTTTAGGTGAGAGCAGAAATATTTAGCGATTTTACATTTGTTTGTAATAAGAATATAACTGTTTTGAAACCTATCCGATGCGAGAAGGACCAGTTTAGCGCCTTATTTACCCCTGGATTCAGTGTTTGTCTCAGGAACAAAAAAGTTTCCAGAAACTCGTATTTTCTAGTTTGTGTATTATAACCAGTTTGAGTTTGTACTGCTGCCTACTTTTTAGTCAGTATTGTTAAAGATTTCGTAGTTGACGAACTATATATTGTATCTACGTTATTTATTTACTGTGAAGTGTTTCAAGGACCAATGTGGTGAGTTATCCTCATATTGATTATTTGTATTATATCAATATTTATTCCAAATATTATATTCTTATGCTACAGTTTTTTAATGCCTAAGTAAATAATTATTTGTCCTAAAGTAAAATTTGATAGAAGTTGATTTACTTAAAGCTTTTTCTGTGGCCTATAATACTTTTTCTATCTATATATATTGTTAAATTTTGTAGATTGAAATGCGTAATAAAACTTGAAGACTGATCCTGACTTTATTATGGAAAGATCTGAAAGCAGAACAGCTTACGGTCAGATCCGGAGAAACACCACACGGTATACCTACACTCAAATCTAGGGCAACTAGGTAGTTGCAAAATATTCAATCACAATTCCTTTAGGGTATTAAAACCGACTGTTAAGCCTTTAAAGATTGAATTTGAAAGTTAGTTTGGGGTTTCTTGGCATCTGTGATCGCTCTGTACTTGCCAATTTATTGGAAATTTCCGGAGTTTGCAGGAGTAAAGATTCCCTAAGACTGAGTAGTACTTTAAATTTGCCAGAAGTCGCACCAATTACCAGATTTAATGGATTTAATACTGAGCAATGTCCCCTGGAGTTTGAGACCTGAGAAATTTTAAACCTGAGACTGAGCTGAATGTTTGGGGTTTCTCGGCTCTGTTCTTGCCAATTTATTGGAAATTTCCCAAGCTTGCAGGAGTAAAGATTCCCTAAGACTGAGTAGTACTTTAAATTTGCCAGAAGTCGCACCAATTACCAGATTTAATGGATTTAATACTGAGCGATGTGTCTCTACCCCTCATATTAACATTATGGGTTTTATTGATGATAATTTTGAGGATAACAGGGGTACAGGATTGGAATCTAGAATCCGGACCAGATCCAGAGGGGGTTCTAATTCCATTGATATGAAGCTGAGAGAAGATTTTACCTGACTTAAAAATGAGAAAATTAAGTGGGGGGAATTTGCATGCAATTCAGCATTAACTGTGGATACTATTGAAAGTCAAAATAATATCTTTTATGCGGAAATTGAGCAGAAAATCTCAGAAGTTTTATTAACCAGGGGGGATTTTTCTTTGGTTGGGGAGATGGCTAGCTTGAAGGATCAATTGAGTATTATCTGGAGAAGAGCGAAGTAAATATCCAAGGAGCAACAAGAAGAATCCTGTAACCCTGATAGATCAAGACTGGCCCAGATGAACGTCATCCAGGCGTAGAGATGATGAATGAAGAACAAGATTACGTGTTTCATTATGAACCAGACCATCAAGAATCTTCTCACCAGAATGCATCAGCACCCATTCACAAGGGGAGATATGGATTAAACCTGAACAGGAAGGGCGATACAGTTATGTTTGATTCAGGACCTTCATTGTTAGGATCTGGACCTACTAAACAGACCCATCTTAAGAAATTTCATTCTCATAACACCCCAGGTCGGGTAGGAGCAGCAATTAGTTCAGGAGCCAATCCTAGAAACACCACACCTACAAGGATGAGAGGATCAGTTATGGGAGGAACAGGATCTATTCTATTGGAACCTGGTCCCCATAGACTAATATTCCTCGTCCAAAGGAAATTTCCACCAGAAGAATTGCAGATGTGGATATCAGTCTTTCTTTAAATGGGATGATAGATGATATGCCCGGAATGAATCAAGATTCTACGGTCGGGAATGATTCTGAATACTGGATGAAACTGATGAAATTCAGGCAGAATCGAGTAGATGAGACATTAGAAAGATTCCAGAAATGGATGGATACCCTCACAACTACTGTGCAAGGTGCTGAATCCATGTACAGAGCACTACAGGGAGATGTAGAAGATCTGATATTCAACAGTGATGAGGTGTGGCAGAGATTGATGTCTGATGAGCAAAGACTGAACAAGCTGGAATCATCTATTGATAAACTGGATGTTAAGCTGGATGAGAAGATGGAATTAATGCTATGGTAGGCGAACCTAGGACACCAGGACGAGAGCAGAGATCCACTGTAAGTAATACCTATGAGCAGGAGATTGTGAGAAAAGGGATTGAAGGTGCTGAGAAACAATTGAGGCAAATCATCTCAAATGATTTAATTGAGAGTTCTAAAGATATTTCTTTGATAAAGAGACACAAGAAGGTTGATGTTCCTGCAATCCATGCAGCTGTAGGAATTATTCAAAAGTAATTGCAGAAGTACGTGAAATTCCCTAGAATAGATTATGAGTCTTGCAATGAGAAAAATGAGTTCTTAGATTCTGATTCTTTCTTTGTCTTGGTTGGGGAGTGTTTCGCAACCTATCGGATGCAATAAGGACCAGTTTATCACTCCTGTGCAAGCCCCTTATTTACCTCTGAATTTGGTGTTTGTCTCAGGAACAAAGAAGTTTCCAGAAACTCGTATGTTCTATTTTGTACATTATAACCGGTTTGAGTTGTACTGCAGCAGGCTTTTTAGTCAGTATTGTTAAAGATTTCATAGTTGATGGACTATATATTGTCTCTACGTTATTTATTTGCTGTGAAGTGTTTCAAGGACCAATGTGGTGAGTTATCCTCATATTAATTATTTGTATTATATCTATATTTATTTCAAATATTATATTCTTATGCTACAGTTTTTTAATGCCTAAGTAAATAGTTATTTGTCTTTAAGTAAAATTTGATAGAGTTAATTTACCTAAAGCTTTTTCTGTGGCCTATAATACTTTTTTTGATCTATATTTATTGTTAAATTTCGTAGATTGAACTGCGTAATAAAACTTGAAGACTGATCCTTGCTTTATTATGGAAAGATCTAAGAGCAGAGCAGCGAGGGGAGGAAGGCCAACCACATCAATCTCTAGTCCAAACCACATTCTCCTCATTTTCTCGTACAAACCACCTCAGAATCCCCGTCCGAACCATTTTATAGGAATCCTCGTCCTTCAATTATTTTGTGTTGAAAATTTTCCAATTCTTGAAGATAAAACTATTTTTTTTAAATCTGGTCACGTTAGGGCATAAAATATGGATTGACTAAAGTATTGCAATGATTATATCATGTTGGAATCTTCAAACCCATGAGAATGATGTCAAACTTTATTGAGGTAAAACTTAAATCTCTTCTGCCTCCGTAATGGCTAACCTTCCTGATATGAAAAAAATAGCAAAATATTCGGCATACCTCTGCCTATAGTTTTCCCCATGTTCCATCTCGGAAAAATTCTATGGTTTTCACTAAAGTTAACAAAAAAGATTTAAGTTCTATAAACTTGGAATTATTTGCGTCATTCTACACCAGGAATATCTGAAAATGCGCGTAAAAAAGGTGAACATTTTTAAAGACATTAAACTTGAAATCTTTAATTCAATTGAAACTTTTTTTTCGATTTACAAAAATTTGATATTTCATTTATGCCCTAACGTGGCCCGATTCTTTAAAAATAGTTTTATCTGGAAGGATTAGATACTTAAAAAAAATAATATCGAAAAGACGAGGATTTCGAGGTGGTTCGGACGAGAAAATGAGGAGAATGTGGTTCGGACTAGAGATTGATGTGGTTGGCCTTCCTCCCCTCGAGCAGCTATGGTCAGATCCGGAGAAACACCAACACGATATACCTATACTGAAATCTAGGGCAACTGGGTAGTTGCGAAACAATAACATTTACTAATATTGAATCCCTCAGGGGTTTACATTTTCATTGTTTCTATTTTTTTCGGAGAGTAGATTACATTCTTTTGTAAAAAGCTGGTTTTATAGATATGCACATATAAAGTTATAAGATTAGCGTTTTTCAATGAAAACCTAGCTTTTTGTAAAGGATTGTACAAGTTTATACTAATATATCTAAGAAAGATAACTTTATTTAGTGCATATAGTGAATCATTCAAGCAATCAAGTCAATTTTAAGCTTAAAAGAAAATTATATTCAGTCACTTTTGTAAGAAGACAACATTTTTCTTCGTTATCCCGACTCATTTTAAAGTTTTCAACCCCTGATTAATTATTTACCATATGTATGTTTTGACATTTAGAGATTGAGCTGGGATTTTTTACTTATGTCTAGGGATGTTAACGTTTTCATTCTTTGGAAAAACGATCATTTCGTTATGAAAACAACGACGAATAACCGAAAACAAAACGATCGTTTTTAAAGTTCGGTCTTTAAAAATGTTCGTTTTTAAAACGATCGTTTATAAAAAATTCGTCGTTAACGACGACCCTTTGTTAACGAACGTTAACGATCAGAGAGGAAACCGACCTGAAGGGCATCTGTACTAATCAATGAGTATAGTTATTAAGAAAATATCAAGAAGTTTTAGCTCCCCCACAACTGTTAAACTTCATGTAAGACGACATTCAATAAAGTTGCATGTAATTTTTTTTTCAAAAACTATAGTTTTCCCAAAAACGACCGTTTTTATAAAGTTCGTCGTTTCGTTTACGATAATTAACGACGACCATTCGTTAACGATCGTTCACATAATTGTCAATAAATTTTTTTTTCAAAAACGATCGTTTTTTCAAAAATTATAGTTTTTTTAAAAACAATCGTATAAAAAACGGTCGCAAATCGTTTTTATAAAAACGATCGTTTTCAAAAAGATCGTTATTCGTTTTCTAAAAGTTCAAAATGAATGGGTCGTTTTTAAAAACGATCATTTTAGAAAAGATTGAAAAACGAAGCATAAAACGATCGTTTAACGATCGTTTTCAAAAACGATTAACAACCCTACAATTATGTCGTGATTTCTGGATCATTTTCAGGCCAATTATGCCTTAATCTAATAAGTAAAAATCTTCAATCTCAAATATTCTGCAAAAAAAAACTTATTTACCGCAATATTTTTCTCAATATTATTTTCTTCTGCAAGAGATGACGGATTTGTCACAAGACTATTTTCTCTCCTGTTTTCATCCTCTGTCTTCTTTTCTTCTTTGCTCTCTTCCATTTCTCTAATTTTGTTGTTTTTAATGCTCTCAACAGAAATGTTTGAGTTTGAAGATTCTTCTTTCTTTCCGAGGGTAAATTCCTTGTCGGCGTCTTTTGAATCTTCTTGTTTTTTATCAAAATTCTCGAAAGTGTCAAGCGATAAAGGAGTTATCTCAAAATTTTCTAACCTCGTCACATCTGTATTCAACTTTTCATCAACAATAGTAACTGATTTATCTTCCTTTTCCTCATTAAACTTAATTGTACTCGTTGTTTTAATAAATTCATTAGGTTCATTTTTCATTTTAAATTTGCTATTCATAACAGTCCATTTTTTCGCGGGTGATGTGTTAATAACTTTCCAACTGGTTGACGACTCTTCCCCAGCATTTTCAATGCTAGAGGAGCATTTGTTTTTAAATATTTTTATAGCATTAGCATCAGTGCTTCTAGATATTTTCCTCCATCTATCTGGATTCAACTCTTCAGAAAGGTACTTTTTGATTACCCATCCATCTGGCCTCATGAGTTTTTTATGTTTAAATGAGTTTCTTTCTTGCATTTCTTTTCTCTGCATCCAACGTTTTTTAGTGTCTCCGGGGGCTAAACCAAATTCCTGTCTATGACACAAATAATAATAATTCCTAAGAAATTGTATTGAAACACAATTTAAAGTTAAAATATTGCTCTCAAATACAAATTTATAAACCTAGTTGCAGTTTAATTTTGCCACTTTTATGTTAAGGAACTCTTTAATTCCATATTGGAAACTCGCAGTTAATATTTTTTATTCAAATACATTTGTATCTTCTGTTTGAGCGCAATTTTTATGAATATCTTTTGGTTTCCTCCCTCTAAGCATTATTCATTATAGCTGAATGTTTATGCTCCGGGGAACGGTTCACTAGGACTGGGTTTCCCTTGAACTAAATTAAAGATCTAAAGATATAAGTAATAGCATTTTATTTCTGGAATAATTATGGTTTAGCCTCGAAAAGCTCAGAAGTACACAAGAATGTATGAATAAAAAGTAGATATTTTAGAGTTCACATGCAAAAAATCAGCGTCCTTTGAAAAAACATAAATTCATAAATATTCTCTATCCCCTTCATCCTGTTCTCCGAACTCCCGCCCAACTTTCACACTTTATCTTTTGGTAAATCATTTTAAGCTTTTATATATGTGTAAAGTTCCAGAACGCTTTTTATGATATCACAGCAGTTTTTTATGGTATCGTGAAATTGGCACTCCATCTTCTTCTTTCTGAACTTGAACTGTTTTAATGTATCATAAACTTTCTCAACCTCTATCTATCTATCAAAGCTTTCTCGGTTTTGATTCTAATTGAAGTTCTTGTTTTAAGTAGAACAATGGTAAAATGCAAAAAAAAACCTGAATTATTCCTGCGGAAAAATGACCTACACATTTTATTATCTACTTACCCATACAGAAAGTGTCAAAAACCTTAAAATTGGGATTGTCCCGGGCTTTTGGATCTCTGAGATTGTTAGAAAAATAAGCCTCAATGATGCCGGGACTCAGGGTTTTAGGGACAGTCACAAAGTCCCGGGATTGTCCTGGATATCTGGGACTCTGCCAAAGACCCATGGATCACACTAGACTGGGAGGGTGATGAACCTCTCCTTGGATTGTCGGGACTCTCATGGTTCTCTTTTCAAACTTGGGGCTCTCATAAACCTCTCCACGGACTTTGGGACTTAAATTCAAAATCTATTAATAGAGGAAAAAATGTTGTTACTATATACTAGATCAATAATTTATCTATTTGAATTTTCTGTACTTTTCCATCCCAGCTGTTCTTCTTTCTCTGAACTACAGACACAATCGTAATTTATTCTAATTACATATATGTTAACAACATACAGTTTTCATTTCTTACATGGTATTTAAGCAATTTGTAAGTAGTGATTTTCACAATTTTACATGAAATCTTTCCGAAAAGTGCGCTTAAACATGATCTCAAAAATTGTACAGTATATATATGTGACAGGTCTAAAAAATGCAGCTCGTTTAGGGAACACCAGGTCCATTCTAAAATTATCCAGATTTTTTATCTTTTTTTAATGACTTGCTTAGGACTCATGTCCAAAGGAACTGAGTTTTTGTCACAAACTCTACTTTTCTAACCTCTATATCTTTGCTACCCAATGTCGTAGACCTTTGATATTTCAAACTATGAATTATGTTAGACCAAATAACTTAAGTTTGAAATATCAAAGGTTTACATCATCAGATTTTAAAGATATAGGGATTAGACAATTTGAGTTTGTGACAAAAACTCAGTTCCTTTACTAAGCACGAAGCTTACGAAAAATTACACTGCTTTGTTTTCATTGCTAACAGTTGACAAATTTTACTACTTTGCTTTTTTTCTTTCCTTTTTATGTATATTGAAGTCATCAAATATAATTCACCATGTTATTTTCTATTAAAGAATTATAAAACTTAAAGGTAATGACTGGGTACGTATGGTAGTTAAACTTCGAGTTCAACACTATAAAATAAAATATCAAGATTCATTTTATATAAATATAAAACGTTTTAACGTTCTATAATTGCTAAATTTTACCTAAAACTTTTTCATTAAAAATCCAGAGGCTGGACAATTCACAAAAATTCGATTTTTAAAAGCTTTTAATAACCTGGACGAAAAACGTACGAAAGATTCTTCTATAAAATAATTAAATAAATAAATAATAAAATTGATGGGTATTTTTAATCATCTTTATCTTGGCCGATTTTTCCTGAACTACATTTTTGCACTTAAACGATTTTATTATATTTAACATTTAGTCCTAAAAAAGAATTACTTGCAAAAAATTATTTTTATCAATTTAGTTTTTTTACAGAATAATTGGTGAGGTAAACAGGAACTTATCACAAAGTTTTTGAAAAAATGCCTGAAAATGCAGGAAATTTTTTTATCCCCCACATTTTGTTGTTTGATTCAAAACTAGATGACAGTTCAGAGATGAGATTTTAAAGGCTTAAACCCGACTAAAACCCAAACTCGGGCTTAGATAGAACCTAAGTCAGGATTGGTTCTGATTCGACCAATGAGAGACTGTTTTGCAAGCTTTCTGTCGGTAGCAGACAGAATGCCGTCAGATCAGCTCTGACTAGGAGATGTAAATTTCGATAATTCAAACTTTTTGTAGGTACATTATTTTCATAGTATGTTTATTATATATAATTTATAAAATTTTACACCACAAATACTTCCCAAGATGTTGAATGTACAAATATAAAAGATTTTACGAAATTTACAATCATCAGCTGCTGAAGACTCGAGCCTTAAAGAGATTAAAACCCAAGGGGGTTGGTTCTTACTAAACTCAAGGCCATCCAAAACCCGAGTCTTGACTTGAGCTTTACTTGGGTCTAAGCAGACGCAAAGACCGGGTTTTAGTCGGGTTTAAGCTTTTAAAATTCCAACTCAGGTCTGCATGCAAAAAAACAGAAAGAAATCTTTTCAGTAGTAAAGTCTAAAGTCTAGGCTTCTATGGCTTTAGGAGTGGAAATATGCGGGAAAAGGGGGGGGGGAATGCAATATTGATTCCAGAATTGAGTTTACTGTCCCAAAGTTAGTGAGTTTCGACACCCCACATGGACCTATTACAAAGTTTTTGAAAATGTCCCAAAAATGCGGGAAAAATTATTTTTCCTACATTTTGTTGTTTGATTAAAAAACTAGATCACAATTTAGGTCTGCATGCAAAAAATCAGAGAGAAATCTCTAGTAATAAAGTCAGAAGGCTTCTTTGGCCTTTAGGAGAGGGAAAATGCGGGAAAGGAGGGGAAACGGTAAAAGGAAAGAAAGAAATGAATTATAAAGTCCAGAATTCAGTTTCCCGACCCAATGTTTATGACTTTAGACACCCCACATGGACCTAAAACAAAGTTTTTGAAAAAATGCCCGAAAAATTAAGAAAAAAATTATTTTTCCCCCACTTTAATTTTTGATTAAAAACAAGATCACAATTCAGTCCTGCAAAAAATCAGAGAGAAATCTTTAAAAACAAAGTCAGAAGGCACTACACCCTTTGTATGGAAACTTGGACATTCCCCTTTTGGCTATTAAAGTCGACCCACTCAACTTAGAATCTCGGGCCATAATAGAACATTCCCGTGGATCTCCCGAGTTCCCCAATCAACACTAGAGGCAAATCGGTCCATGGGTTCCTAAGTTATGATCGGACAGACAAACGGAGATTATAACTTTATGTATAGATAAGATTCTTTATTTTTCTAAAAATGAATTCGCAAACTTATTCAAAGGAATTGAGTTTTGCAATAAACTCTGATTTTCTAATTTACTTTATGTCCTAGACATTAGATATTTCAAACTAAGAAAGATGTTAGATCAAATAATTCAAGTTTGAAATATCAAGGGTTTACACCATCAGATTGCAAAGATTTAGAGATCGGAAAATTTGAGTATGTGGCAAAGACTCAACTCCTTTAAGGAAATCTATAGGAAAAATTTTGAATAAGAATCGAATTTTATCAAAACAGAGCTGAAACTTTAACTATTATATTATATTAAGATCAATGCTTTATCTCAACTTTTTTAATCTCAAGATAAATTAAATTTTTAGTTTGTATCCAGAAAAGAGTATGCGCCCCGTGAACTCTCATTGGTCGGAATTTAAAGTGATGATATCTAAAGAAGACCGAGAAAAAGAGCTGAAATCAAAAGTGTTCAGATTAAGTAATCGAGATTATTGGTATCCATTTTTAAAGTTTTTAAACTCGATCATAAACTTGACATTAGTTTATAACAATATTATTGTTACGATTTCGTATCAATAGTTTCAAAAAATCAAATCTCATGACAAAACCTCCAGACATATCTATAGCCTCGTGATTTTTAAAGAGCAAATTAACAATAATAGAAAGTAAAAACGTGTTATAGATATCAAATCATGTTATTTTAGTCTCAGTATACAACTACTTTGCCTGGCACTGCCTTTAAGATAGTAATTTCGTAAAAAAAAAAGGCGGTGTAACTACATTTAGAAGCAAACCATTGTTTAAACATTATTGTGTTCTTTACCATTTTGGTATGATTTTAAATTAGCTGTATAGTATAGCAATGTACCATAAAGTTAAATTGGTTTCTGGATTTTCTCCAGCAAATTTAGGATATTTCTAGTATGAAAATCAAATTGAAATCTTTTATATATTATTTATTTTTGTATATCAAGAAATAACCATTATATCAAGATTATAAAGGGAATTTTTAACTTTGGTACAACGTTTTTTAAAGTTTTTGGACTGTTTATAGAAGGTTCTCGTCTTGTTAAAGCGAACATTTAAGTTAATAAATATAAAGTACTGCGAACAATAGATTTAGTATTTAAAACAAGAAATTGCATCCAAAAATTTGAAATACAATAAACTGGGCTTGCTTCTGTTTTTTTCAGACATCATTTTTTGGTTACCCGTGAAACCAATCTTTAAACCATTACTTTCTTTCTTCTTTTCAATAGTTATATTTAGTTTAAAGGGAGTGACCGGCTATGTAAGGTAGTTGAACTCAGTATGCAGTGTTGTGGAAATCTTCTTTCGGATTCATTTGAGACATATTAAACGTTTTAATGATCTGTAAATCCTGAGTTTAGGCGCAAATTCGATGTTCAAAACTCCTACTTTGGGGGTGGACACGTTTTCAGAATTAGTTTTTTTAAATTATTAAATAACGTTGACATAAAATGTAAAAAAGTTCTACAATAAACTACAGACGTCAAGTATAGGAACATGTTGAGAAAATAATACAGATCTTTAAAACGTTTAATATGTCTCAAATGAATCCGAAAAAAGCTTTCCACAACTGCACTGCATACTCAGTTCAACTACCTTACATAGCCGGTCACTCCCTTTAAGTAATAGCTTATTAGCAGACAAATCCGCTGATCGAGAGGTTACCTAGATTTAAAAACTGTCTTTTAAAAACTTTTTAGAAACTGCAATTAAAAATTTTAATCTCAATTAGCAATAAGCAGAATAAAAAGCCATTGTTACAAAGTTTGAAAAAAATTGTGTTACTACCTTGGTAGGAACAGTAGGAGCTGCAGGAGATACTTGCGCCTCCGTTTTCCTGATCATATATATATATATACATAGAAGCCCTTCTTCGTCAAAAATAATATTTTTAAATACAAAAATAATTTCAATTATATGAAGATATAATAGAAGTTGAGCACTCGCTCTCACACAAAATTCGAGCAGTATTTTGCCAATTACTTCTTTTAAACTTAAGCAAGAAACAAGTGGGGTGGTAAGGTAAAACAAAAGGCCAAGGCGTTGCTGCACTTAAAGTCTAAACAATTGATGACTAACTTTAAGAGTTGTCTATAATATGTCAGTCACTGTGATCTTGCCAAGACTACATTTGTTGCATATTCTAGACTGTACAGTACAACTGCATGTATAAACAGTGCATGTTGTACCAGATTGAATCATAGTGCAATAGCCAGCATTGCATCGAGGGTCACTTGAAATCACGCTTTCAATCCTTTAAAGTGTTTCATGTATTCAGGTAATTTTTAATTCTTATTTCATATTTGAAAATTGTAATTATATGGGACATGTGTATCGTATCGTATCAGCCTAATGATCACCAAATTACAAGGTTGTGTGAATATGTCTTACATGAATTGCAAAGCATTTTCTCAATTAAAAAACTTACTTTTTGTAGAGATAGTATGCAAGAGTCATGATGAGAGTTGCAACTGCCATGATGGAAAATAAGGAGATTACAACAACCTTAAACAAATGCGTGTATTTAAAAGTTTTTAGAAAAATTATGAAAAAATATATCCTCTGAAAATGTCTTCATAGTTTCAAAAGAATTTATGCAAAAACTTCAGCAAATAAGCAAATATTTATTTATGTATGAATAAATGTAGTTGTCTGAAGTTGAGTAAAGAATCAAGACTATACATCTAATCACCCAAATTTTCTTTGATTTGAAAGGAATTGAGTCTTTGCCACAAACTCTGATTTTCTAATCACTATATCTTTGGAACCAAATGCTGCAGACCTTAGATATTTAAAATTATGAATTATGTTAGATGAAATAATCTGAGTTTGAAATATCAAAGGTTTACAAAATCGATTTCTAAAGATATTGAGGTTTAAATATTTTATTTTGTTCCAAAGACTCAATTCCTTTGCAATTAACAACTTAATTAACAGCAAAACAACACATCTAATTTTTGAATATAATACTTGTGGGGTGAGGATATATGCCAGAAGGTCTGCACGGCCTAAAATGAATCTATTTAGACTATGTTACAAAAAAATTGAAGAAAATTATTAAAAAGAAAAATATAATAAGAAACGCTTACTTCCGCAGTGTCCAACGCCTATTCCAGAGCAGTTTAGTTTACTTGGAAACTCTGAACAAGTCATATTTCTTACTACACACTTCATGCCCGAGTTATCATTTACAGCACTAGTACCTGTTAGCATTAACTATTAATAAAATAATATGAAACTTCTTGGATTATTTTTAGAGACCTGATCCCGGCAATCAGTGTATTTTTATATTGGAGATTTGATATTAATAGAATTGATTATCTCTTTTTGACCATTTACTATTGTGTACTAAAAAATAAAACGTTTTATATTTATATATCAATTTTTTTCTACTTCTAACCTATTTCTCTTTTCAATCTCAAGACCTCTTTGGCAAGTTTAAGGGTGTACTTGTGTTGATTCTGGTTCCATTCAGGATGCAGCTCTTTAAAAATAAATTAAAAGTCAAAATGATTTTAAAAGTTGTGGAAATTTTCGATCCTACCCATTTGTTTGGCACTTTTAACTGCCTCGCTGAGAAAATATTTCATAATGTTTGCTTCCACAATCTCGCTTAGCTGAAAAAAAAATAATTTTGGTTTCTATGTAACTGACGTAAAGTATTTAATGTAGATAATACCTCAACTGCGGCTCTCTTTCTTCGTAAATTTTCCGTGTTCATGCCGATGTCAACTTCTTCAGTACTTAAATGTGAAACTAAAAATTCTGTCCAGCTCTATTTAAATTTTAGAATCTCATAGATGTAGAAGTCATATTAATATGGTCCCTCTGTAAACAACATTCAAACTACATAGTAATTTCTTTGTAAAAATTTATAGAACGCAAGTTAATAACTCAATATCTGTTGTATCTCTAGTATTGTGAGTTCTTTCATTAATTTAAGAATGAGTGTGCTGAACAATTTTGTATAAAAATGAAAATCTGAAAACAGAATTTTGTAATTGTGTAAGAATTGCAATTATTCTTTTTCTATGGATTTTTTTTATTAATAGTTTTGCGGTTAGATCAATCCAGTTTGTGAAAAAAATATTTTAGAAAGAAATTCCTGTACTGTCATTTTAATTTATAATGTATGTAAGATCAAGATCATAGATATGGAATGGGGAAGACATTGGAAATTTTTATGAGTATGGTATTATTTCATATGATAATATCTTTTTGCATACTTAATATTAAGAAAATCTGTTTAAAGAAAAATACCTGCTCATATTCTTCTTAGTTTCAAGGGAAGGTATGAGCGTTTCAAGAGTCGAAAGAGGTAAAGACATCGGCATTTCTGAAAAGAACATCAAAAGTTTGAATACATTGAGATGAATATTTTTGAATAAATGTGATCTTTCTTAATCAAAGCCAAAGAAAAAAAAGGATCCCTCATTTCTTTTGATCTCTTAAATAGATAAGTTTTGTGCATTCAAAAATTTCCAGCTTAAATGCGTTTCATGAAAAATTACTTTTTAAACATTAAACTGTTTTTAAACAGTTGACCAAGGACCAAGTTTTTTTTCTGCATGTTTGTGTGTTTCATCTGAACCGTAAATAATAAAAGTAAGTTGTTAAGATTCGAAACGCCAGATGACTATGTTATAGAGCTAAAGGAATTGAGTTTTTTCGTAACAAACTCTGATTTCTAATACTTTTATCTTTCCAACTCGGTGTTTTATACTTTGGATATTTCAAATTATGAATTCTATTAGATATGATAATCTTACTTTGAAATATCAAAGGTTTACATCATCAGATTGGAAAGATATAGGGATTAGAAATTTTCTGGGTGTGGCAAAAACTAAACTCCTTTACCAGGAAACAAAATTATTTGACATTGTATATAACCTATGCATTTGTGTCCTACAAGTTACTTTTTCATGTAAATATAGGTTTTGGATAGCACACCAGTCAGCAAAAAAATCGAAAACTCTGCCAAAAGTTTTAGATCAAATGATGAAAACAATAAATTTTGTATTCTCTTCGTAGCAACTTTATTTCCAAAACTGTTTTAGCTTATAGGTCTTTAGAATAAATAGAGCACAGTTCCTCGAATCTACCTTCTCTGGTTCTATACACCCAGAGCCCGCGATTTAAAAACTTTGGCTCGAGCCGTAATTCCTTAAACCCGACATTAAGACCCAATCTTCGACCCAACTCTAACGACAGCTTGTATCACGTGATTGACAGCTGCAAGATATTCGGCTCGACTTAAGGAGTTAAGCCCAATGAAAAAAAAACCGACCTTGATTGGTTTTAGTGGGGAATAAGGCTCAATGTTGCGTCTTGTTCTCATAAAAACTGGGAATGCGCCAATTCCTACCATGAAAATCCGCCAAATAGAATATTAAACCGGTTTTTTTAATTCAACTCTGCTCTGTGGAAAATAAGATGCAGCTTTAATCCAAAAGCTCAAGCTGTAAATAAGGTCCGACGACAGCTTAGACCCGAGTCGAATTTCTCCGAATTTTTTAAATCGCGGGCTCTGTATACATATAATAAAAAGTTCTAACCAATCATTTCTTCCATAATTTCTGTAAATCTACGAATATCAAGATAAAATTTAATAATCCTGACATACACACAAAGAAGACTTTGCACTAACAATAGGTGGGTCCTGTACTGAAAAGTGGATTAAAAAGTTAAAAAGACGGCTTTGTTCAAAAGTCACATCAAACAAAAGTAAATCGCACATAAAATTGAACTCTTTTATGGTTTCAATCATAACCCCTAATTTTAAAGAACTTAATTTCAGCCTTTTTAGCCAAGTTCCAAGGAAAATCCAACTATTAAAAAAAGAATTGGGATACTAACACATGCAGATTTCCTCTGGCAGAAGTCAGTTCCGCTATCTTTAAATGTATGTACCTCTTAGCAGTATCTTTAAATGTATGTACCTCTTAGCAGTGACTGAGATTTTTAGAGATAAAAAAGTTGGTGGAAACCTTTTTTTTAATGTACACCCTTTTAAATTTTTGGCTGGAAATAGTGAACCAGACTTACCATGAAACAAAAGATGTCAATAGTTCCCATATAATAATGTATGAAATTCTTGGGAAAGTAAGAAACTGAAATGTTATCAATTTTAAAAGCATTGCATGAAATTAGTTTCACAGAGATTGATAATATATAGATAACATGTTTATACAAAACTGGTAAGGGTAACGACTAACAAATATAAAACCAAATCTTTCTAAATTTTTAAAACAGTGTTCGGTAAAAGAACTAAAATCAGCAATAAACATTTAAAGCGATAAAAAACAGTTGTCCCGAAGAAAAACATAGGAATTTGTGTCGAATTTGAGATCGTCTTTGTCAAAAAGTAGCAGGTATTAACCTATATTTAATTAAAATAGTAAAAGGATGTTACGATATATGTCTATGATGTGTCTCTGTAAGTTATACAGTGAAAACGGACATGTATACTTTGTTTTCAAACAGAAACTTTCATGTTTTACTAAACATTTATTGGTACATACTGGATAGCATCAGTGTATCTTTGTATTGTTTTTGTAATGTCTAATTTTTTGCTACAACAAAAAATTTCCTGAATCTATTTAGTTTACAATTCACGTTTTTACCTGATTCCATTTTTTCTTCAGATGATTCGGACTCTGCAGATCTAATAATATTATATATTTTATTTCTTCTGAAACAGATAGTAACAATTTAACAAATTGGAGATTTGATTAATTTATAAGACTTTAAACTTACCTTATGAAGTTTGAGGACTTCCCTAGAATTTTCTTTTTATTTTCATATTGCTTTAAGTCTTCAATATTTTTTAGATAGTATATTTCAGCATCTTTTGGGTCATTTACTATCTTCTTTCCGTTGTAAACGCTAGCTAAATACTTTGGATTTAGTTTTTCTTCCATTTCGAAATTATCTGGAGTCATCTCTTTAAAATCCTTCAGTAGTGTTTCCTGCAACGGAATTGATCATTATTTTGAGCCACATTCGCATATTTCAGAGCATGCAAAAAAAGGTATTTATACACAAACTTGCAGTTTTTAAACAATGATACAGGCTGCCCAATTGATGACATATTTGACATTAGATTTTAAATATTAGTTTGGAGATCCATTATTGTATAACCTTTCTAATTATAACCTAATTATAACCTTCTTATTCATAGTTAGGAATAGGCAACCCTTTCTCTAGATCTTATTTCATCTCCTTTCAAACTTTAAAACATATCAAATTATACTAAACGAGAGTTATCCCCAAACACAAACACAAACTTCACAAAATCTCTAGATTCGTCCTTGTTAGATCTGTCAGAAGGAGGCAAAGTGGTCCAAAAGAATAATGTATATTAAGCAGATTCATTCAAGTCTAATCAAGTTAAATATTTGAGGACAATTGCTTTTCTCAGAGAGATGGGGGGGGGGGCTATATCAGCTTTCCTTTCTTGGCATCCTGGTCTTTTCATAACATTTGCAAACAAATTCTAGATAGGCTTGATGTTGTAAATGCCGTGCTCTGAAAAATTCATCCCCTAAACTGTATTTGTCCAGGCACAACCAATCTGCTATTCAAATCAACCAGGACACAACCCACCTGGCATTAAATGCAACACAGGGACGCAAGCATAGCTTATCAGTCTAGCTCTAAATGCTACACAGGGACTTAAGCGTAACTTATCAATCTAGCTATTACTCAGGCTCTAAATTCCACACAGGGACACAAGCAAAGCTATCAAACAAGCTATTAATTCGGCTCTAAATGCCTCACACAAGCATTGGCTATTTTATCAAGCAGTTCAAATGAATAAATGTGTTTTTTATGTACAAACATGGATTATTAATAATTGTAGTGATCTGAACAGTCAAAGATAAATCTTACTTTGTCTTTCAGACGTAAATAAGCTTATGGTTAAATAAGTAAGAAGTTGAGATTATAACCCTTATATTAAATAGAACATGAGTAAATACAAGGAACATTAATATTAATCACATTATTATAGGTTGGGTCTAGAGAGCTGAAGATGTCTGATCCCTGAGTTGAGATCCCAGGAACTCATTGATGAGATCATTCAATGTATCCAGAACTCCCTCTACATGCCGGAGTAGATCAGCTCGGAGTTTGTCCCTCTGTGCGATGGTGTTGCTCAGGATCCTCCGGTCCATGGGATTATTGTTTCTGTGAGATCACAAATGGAGTCTATACTCCTAAGGGGATTAGAGAGAGGTTCATAGTTCTGGAGGGAGGAGTACTTGTCCTCAGAGCTGAGGTTGGTTTCCTCTGTCTCTACTGAAGTTTCAGTCGTGTCCAGGTCTGGACACGGGGATTCACATCCCCCGTACTCGTGGATGAGCTGTTGTAGGCCTCTTCCATCGAGATATTGTACAAAAGGATCAGCAGACAGAGGAGGATCAATAATATGCAGGGTAGAGGTAGGAGCACTAGAGTCTTGGGTTGCAGGCTCCTCAGGTATCTACAACATCAAGTCAGGTGGCTTCTCAAAGTAGGCGGGGGAGAGGAAGGTGCAGGGATTGATGGGATCAAGACAGATGTTGCGGGATTGATTAATGGAGTTGTAGCTCGGATAGAAGGTAGCAGCATCAGGGTTCATCAAGTAGTACACTACAGGGAAGCTCTCAAGGTGTTAACCTTCTGAAGATCTCTGTAGTACTGGCGAGGGAGAGGGATCCAAGAAGAGCGGGTATCCAATCTCCAGTAGCATCATCAGGCCAGGGGGGAAGTCAGCACCTCTCAATCTAAACATGTATTAAGGGGCGGTGGTCTGATTATATCAATCTTATAGTTGATGGAAAAATCTTGTTTATCTCAGAATACTTCATAATGTAAAAGGCACTACAAGTATAACCCAATATTTATTACAAATGAGATGGGGGGGAGTGGTTGAATAATAGGGTTATTTTATCCCTTATTTTCAATCAAACAGCTTCTTCATATGCCAGCAGAGCTCCCAACCTCATAACCTGTGCTGTAGGTCTCTTACCATTCCGGAGTCTGCCTCATTCCAATGTGGTCCTGGTGATGAGAGCTGCAATGGTAGGAGTGAGACTAAACATCAGGACAGCCACAGCACATGATACCAGGATGACGAGATACTTGAGGGTGAGACTGATCAATATAAACTCCTTGATTATGCTGAACTTCCATGAGAAAAATGCTAATGGGTTTAGATTGAATTTTTTAATCTTATTCTCTCACAATAGGTATTACTGGACTCAACCGTAATGCTGCCATCTTCTACAAAATTATAGACGAACTGTTCATCCAAGTCCAGTCTCAGAATCTTTCCATCAGGGGTTTCAAATTGTCCTTGGTGTAGAGATCTTTGGCAGACTTAGGGGGAGACCGGAATACTGATCTCCGGGATGGTCATAAACTGCCAGTGGCTATAGGCCCTGCAATATCCTCTAAACTGGGATTTTTTGCAAGGCACATAGAGCACTGGAAGTTATATGAACCTGACATTTGGCAATGATGGTTTCATGCTGGCAAGCTCTATATACGCAGTATCTCTGTCCCTTTCCAGTGCCATCATCTTTGGCTGTTGTTTCCTCGCAATTAATTCCAGCTGGATCCCTTCTACATTGTCATTAATTTTAACATAATTCTTAGCTATAGCTGTGAGGGTAGGAGGGTTAGAATCTGTTTCCACAACTGTAAGATTGTCCTTAATCCCTACTTATCAGCTGGTTTCTCTCTAAACTCTCTGGTTGATTCTGTGGAACAGGATTAGCTTTCTGACTGTCCTTGCAGTGCTTGTCTAACTCCCCATTTGATCTAAACATAGCTATGGGGTTTTCATACGAATAGTTCTACGCATCATCCCCGGTTTTCAATGTTCTTTCTTCAATTTTTCTTAATTTTTTGTTTCTCTTGTGATCTTGATTTCTTTCTTCAGAACCTCGTTTAACGTTTCAAGGAGTTCATCAGTACTGATATGTTTTCTGCTTCATCTTCTAACCTTTTTTTGTACTGTTCAAGATATGACATCAAATCCGACAATTTTCTCTCTTTAAATTTTTTGTCTTGGTTTAACATCTCATTTGAATCTATTTTGAAGCTTTCATGAATCAATTTCTTTTTATTTTCTTCTATGAGATAATCTGATTCTCATACATAATTCATCATTTCTTTGTTTATATCTCCCTACTTTTTTTTCCCCCTAGGTATTTGTTATCTGTGCATTCAGCATATTTATCCTTGTGTAATGCTCTTGTTCTTGATGCTTCTCTTGATCTTGATTTTTATCTTGTTCTGATCTCTTCTCATTTATGATGAATTCTGGAACATCTGTTTCCCCATAACGTTTCAGATTTGCCACCAGACCAAAAAACTTATCCGAAAACTGTTTGACTATTTTCTCTTTCAACTATTCCTTTTTGTGTAAGATATCATTTTTATCTATATTGAAGCTTTCACAAATAAATCCCCTCTTACTTTCTTCTGTAGGATAATTTGATTCTCGTACATTGTTTATCGTTTCTGTTAACCCTATTCCCGCTGGGGGGGGGGTCAAATTGACCCCCCCCCCATAACTCAAAAAGTATTGGTCTGAGGCTGTTGAAATTTTCTGACTTTTCTTACATACCCAAAGCCCTCCCTTTAGGCCTAAAACCGGGCTTTAATACTAACTGCCTGAGTCCTCAGGCACACTGCCTGAATGACTGCTTTTGCCTGTAACAAACTAAATCTTTGTTTTGACCCACTTTCACTTGTCAGATTTTGATAAAATTTAGCTTTTCGGAAAGCCTATGACATAAGGAAACGGATTGCACAAGTTTTGCGAAAAAAAAATTGAAAATTTTTTGCAAACAACCTGTCAAAGGAAATTTGCACATTTTTAGTTTTTCTTGATTAAAAATCAGGTTATTTAAAATTTTGCAAAAATTTTTGCATATTTGAAATGGCATGGTCAAAGGCTTTTAAAAAATGTATAATTTGTCATTTTTTGGACAAATTTTTTTTTGCAAACATTTTTACTATAAAACTGGATTTTGCGATAAAAAATTCAATTTTCGCAAATTTTCAAATTTTTTTGCAGATTCTAAAAGTAGAGCACAAGAGCTTTCTAATGATGTATCATTTGTCATATTTGGACATAAAACATGGGATTTAGAGGGGGGGTCAAATTGACCCCCCCCCCCCAGCGTATCCTGGTTTTCAAGTACCCCAGCGGGGATATGGTTAATGTTTATCAACATGCTCTTGTTTCTTCAGGTATACATGACTTGTCTACTGTCTCGGCAATGATTTTCAAATCAGCATAATTCTGTGTATCTTTTTTTTCTTATCTTCACACATGCAGCTCGGATATTGTCTGATAAGTTAAGATTATCTTCCTGGATTATTCTTCCTGATTCATGCTCTTCTGGTGGCATGGTTCCTTTGAAGTTCTTGTTTTACAGTTTTCTTTCTCCTACTTCCGTAATAGCAAGACTCTGTCACCTCTTGTTGTATCTCAATTCCTGTTCTGGGACTACCTGTATTATTCAACCTGTTTGACGCACCGTGTTCAGCTTCCATCGATATCAAAAACTCCTCATCCTTCATCAAGGTTTCAATCCTAGCTTTATCTTTATTACTCACCAATCTATCAATGTAGACTCAATCATCTGTTTTCTCAACCAGAGCTTTTTCTTCATCACTCAACATGTTTCCTATACTGTCCAACCAATTTAGATTGGCATGGTCCTTTTTTCCTTTAATCCTGGATTTCTCTTCTTCTCCTTCTTTTGTATATACTTGACTTTTTTCTTCATCTTCTTCTTTATTGTGCATCTTTTTCTTATTGTCCGAACTCGGAACTATTCCTTCCTGATACATCATTAAATTATTGGAAATGTTTCTAAAGTCAGCATAATTCTTATTTGTTCTTGCAGCTTCTAACTTCCTGACATTAGCATTCGACTAGGGCTCTTTAAATTTAAAGATTTAAGGCAAATCATATATTACAGCATGATTAGAAATAGGTGTAATTCAAGATATATGTCAACATACTGCAAATTTTACGGAATATCATATAACCCAATATTTATTGCAGGCTGACACCAAAAGTCTTACATAGATCCAGACAGCTTTGAAAAGCATCAATTTTTAAGACTGGGTCTGATCCAGATTTTAATTTTGTTTTTAACCCACCACCTTGACTGAAACTTTTTGATAGCCCTAGACATGTACAATTTTACGTACATTAAAGCTTTTTAAGTTTTATTTTTAAAGAATTAATTGGCAAAATGCTTATCAAGTTTTGAGTGAGAGCTTTAAACCTTTTAATCAATGTGAACACCGTCAGACCAAAAGTGTTATGGTCCCATGACTCATGAGGTATGTCAGCTAAATCATCGCCAGTGTACAGTCAGAATGTCATATTCATAAGTCATATTTTTTTGCACATAAGTAGCATTCTGACTCTGAGATCAGTAACATTGCCCCGGGTTCTGCCCCTCTTCTGCACATTACAAGAGAAAAGGTAGTAACTTTGGTCCTCTTTAGTTATTGCGAGTATTACTAATGAAATTTACAAATATCTAAATATGTTACTTAAAATTGTCAGAAAATCTTATATTTTGTAATCAAATAGCTTTGGGGACTTATCAGTTTTTTTCATCGGCAGTGTACAATTGATTTTAAAAAAGAAACAAAGTAAAACAGTTGTAATTCTTTACGCATGTTTAATTTTCTCAGTTTAGAATGAATTAAGAGAGCTTTCAGATGATATCAAGTTTGGTTTTGTACGACAACTCCTAAATGTAGAGGTATAAAGAGATAAATCTTTATTGAATTTCATAGTTTTACACTGTTCATGCATATGATTGATATGTTTAAAATAGGTTTGGCTCCAGGAATCAAATTTTGAGGTCAAAAATACTTTTTGACTTTTCTATCAACCTTCAGAATATTAAATCGACGTCAAAAACTCAAAAGCTTTTAAATATTGATGTTTCAAGTCAACAGGTTCATATAGTAAGTTTAAAGCATTAGGTGTGTTTAAGACTAGTATAAGGGCTTCAAATAGCTTAAAAACATAAAATATTTATGTTTTAACTCCACACATGATATGTCTAAAGTATGTCTTTATAACTCAAATTTTTTTTTATTCTGCTCTAGAAATCTGTTTTTCGAACATACTTTTAGACCAATTTGTAGTGCTTAAGGTGATTGTGGCGGCTTCAGGCCTAAAAAATCAATTGATTTAGGTAAAATACCTTTCAACAATTCTCACTACTAAGTTCAAGTACGGAGAAAAAGAGAATGTAATATAATAAAATTCGCATTGCATGAGCTGAAAATTGTCAACCAATTTCTTCATTTTGAATCACAAATAATCAATAGTGGGATGTTTCCAGATATTTTTTATCTTAATTAATTAATACACCTTGAAGTAAGGGGAGGAAGGCCAGCCACAACAATTTCTCATCCGAACCACATTCTCCTCATTTTCTCGTCCGAGCCACCTCAGAATCCTCGTCTTTTGATTACTTTGTGTTAAAAAGTTTCCAAATCTTGAAGATAAAACTATTTTCAAAAATCTGGCCACGTTAAGGCATAGAATGTGGATTGGATTGAATGATTATATCATGTTGGAATCTTCAAACCCATGAGAATGATGTCAAACTTTATTTAGGTAAAACTTAAATCTCTTCTGCCTCCGTAATTGCTAACCTTCGTGAAATAAAATAAATAGCAAAATATTCGGCATACCTCTGCCTATATTTTTCCCATGGAACCACCCGGTAAAATTCTATGCTTTTCACTTTAGTTAACAAAAAAGATTGAAGTTCTATAAACTTGGAATTATTTGCGGCATTCTACACCAGGAATATCTGAAAATGCGCGTAAAAAAGGTGAACATTTTTAAAGACATTAAACTTGAAATCTTTAATTCAATTGAAACTTTTTTTCGATTTATAAAAATTTGATATTTCATTTATGCCCTAATGTGGCTTGATTCTTAAAAAAGTAATATTGAAAGGACAAGGATTTCAAGGTGGCTTGGACGAGAAAATGAGGAGAATGTGGCTCGGACATGAAATTGTTGTGGTTGGCCTTCCTCCCCTCTTGAAGCACAACATAGGAGTCCGATTGCCACGTTTTTAGAAACTAACATAAAATTTATGTAAATATTTAAAACTAACAAAATAACAATATTTAAAACATCAAAAAAGTTTTTTTTCTCAGGTTTTTGCTGCCCCCAGAGGTACGTTCGCTGTATAATGTACATATGTCTAAAGGATCGAAGCTTGAAATATCGTATTTTTAATTACCTTACTTTTATCGTCTTCCTTTGTGTCTGTTTTATTACGTTCGATTATGCTACCATCGTCGTTATCACTTTGTGTGGCCATATCTTTTTGTTCAGTGTCGTTAAAACCGCTTTCATCTTTCTTTAAATTTTGTTTTGTGATCTCGCCTGTTTCTGTTACCGTATTTATAGAAATGCTTTTTTCTTCTTTCAGACTCTCTTTTGGTTCCCTGTCCAGTACATTACTCGATGTTCTTATCTTTAAGTTATGTTGGATACTAGAGTCAATTTCATTTTTATCATCCAAGGATCTCTCCGTAAAGTTGATTTTTTCCTCCTCAGCAGATATTTCTTGAATGCTTTCAGATGACTACAATAAAATTAAGGCATGTTTACCATAATTATAGATAAGGCTTATCAATAGAAGTATCAAACTTAAATTCAAGTATTTTATGGCTTTTTTACTTTTTATTATGTGAATCACATTGATTTTGAATTTATGTGTTTCAGAAAAATGATCATGATTTGAATAAATAGGCTTTTTAAAACTTATTTCTCATTTTATTATTTATATTCTAATTTGGCTTAGCCACTTGAAAAGCAACAGTTGAAAGCTAAAACTGTTAATTTGAAAGGGATGGACAGTTTTGACTTTTTTGAAACGTTTGTTTTGTTTTGCTGTACAAAGCGCCCGGTTCAAGCATATTAATTTAGAAAATGGTCAGACGTTTTTACAGATTTACTTACAGGTGGGTCATCATAGGAATAAGAGTAGTCACCGAAACCAGCAACAGCGTCTTCGTCTACTTTCTTTAAAGAATATTTCATGAATTAAAATTATCGTGAATTTCTATAAATCTATTTTTCCTACAATAAGAAAAAAATCAATTTTAAAAAAATACTAAATAATAGATACGCAAAATAATACCCAAAAGGGCATCAAATAGTTTATTACTTACCTGAAGTACACTTTCTTCATTGCTTCCGATACCTCCTCCACCTCCCCCATTGGCAAGCTTAACTAAAGAAGATAATTTTCAGCGGTTTTAAATTTATTATGCTACTGACTATACAGTTAAGGAAATCAAGACTTTTTGTACCCAACCCGGAAACTTTTATCCTAAAACTCCGTTCCAGGATGAAAGTCTATTCTGGAATGGAGTTTGGCGTACTGCAAGATGACCTGAAGCATGAGAACTACATGAGCTAGATTTCAGGAATCCATTGTTCTCCAGGTAGAGCCTAGTTAGCCTAGTCTACTAGGCTCCCCTAGCTGGATATTATCAACGAGAAAACTGTGTTTGAAGCTCTAACAAAATTAAAGGCAGGGATAAGTGATCCAACTTTCTCTTTTATTTATAAATTTTTATTAAATTCGTGCTATGATTATGAAACATGTGACCATCTATATATATATTTTGCTTGTCTGCCGTTTGTGTCCAATAAACGTCATAAACGGGCCCACATTTTTTTGGGACCATGCATGATCCCAGGGAAGGTTTATGGATGATCAAATGTTAAGAAAATTGAATTTTTGAAAATTTGAAAGTCTACGAAATGTTTTTTTTTATAAAATTCGCGAATTTTTTTTGTTTTGGAATATTTTCAAAGAGAAAATGGTTTAAAGTTAAATAGAAGCGCCCTACTAGCCTTGTCTTTATATAAACTTTGCTTGTCTGTCTGGGTGTCAGTGTATTTGTTGGTGTGCAATAAACGTCAAAACAGCTGAATGGTTTGAGGCCCAAATTTTGTGTGGGACCTGACATGACTCCTGGGAAGGTTTATGAGTGCTCAGAACTTCAAAAAGTTCCCCCCAAAATTTTTGATTTTTGTAAAATAAAAAAAAATGTACATCCGCCAAAATTTATTATTGATGAAAACTTTTTTATTATTGATTAGAAAATACTGAAAGATTGAGGAAGATTAAAGCACTGTTTAAATGGTTTCTGTGCAGCGGTACAATTAATGTATTTTTGCTTCTTGGTACGTACTGCAGTAGTACTTTTTTAGTTAAGGACAACCTAGGATATATTGCATAAAGTTATAAATACTTAAATAGCTGGTTACTATAGGCTGCTCACTAATAGTTCAAATGAGAAAATAAAATAGTTCAAATGAGAAAATAATAGTTCAAATGAAAAATAAACAAACAAAAATTTCAAATGAAATAGTTAAAAAACATATAAATAGTACAAATGTGATATACTCCTACTCCCGACGTGATTTTACCTGGCCCCTTTGTCTGTCTTAACTCCCACGGCAGACACTGAATCCAACCTTCGAGCGTGCGAGGTTGGGAAGACTTCACTGCGGATTTTACTTTTTGACATGACCACTTTTTCAACAATTTTCAATTAAACTAATATTTATTTAGGGTTAGGGTAGGTTAAGACACTTGGGCCGAGCGCTGTGGCTAGGACAGGCTAGAGGGCAGAGTTCTGCGGCGTGCACGGGTTAGGTTAAGTTATGACACTTTCTGGGCCGAGCGCTGCGGCTAGGATTCAATCTCGATCTACAAATGGCATACCCCCTTAATCATGCTTTTAATTAAGCGCGGCAGAGAAGTCTTCCCCAACTCGCACACTAAAAGGTTGGAGTTCAGCGTCTGCCTCCTCCCACGGGCCTGCAGGCCCCCTGAGGCCCCCTCCCCTAATTACTTCAGCTGATCAACAGCATTTTAACTATTTTTGTGTTCATTTTAACTATTTTTTTCTGTCCTTTTGAACTATTTTTATGTCTATTTGAACTATTTTTTTTGTCTGTTTGAACAATTTTTACGTACATTTGAATTACTTTTTTGTTCATTGTGACTATTTTTTTGTTCATTTCAACTATTTTTTTGTCCATTTGAACTATTTATTTCTCATTTTAACTAGTTTTTGTTCATTTAAACTATTTTTTGTCCTTTCCATTTGAAATATTTTTTTCTCATTTGAACTATTTTTTTCTCATTTGAACTATTTTTTTGTTCATTTGAACTATTTCATTTGAACTATTTTTTTTATTTAAACTATTTCATTTGAACTATTTTTTTTCATTTGAACTATTTCATTTGAACTATTTATACGTTCAATTGAACTATTTGTATGTCCATTTGAACTATTTTTTTGTTCATTTAAACTATTTTTTTGTTCATTTGAACTATTTTTTTGTTCATTTGAACTATTTTTTTGTTCATTTGAACTATTTTTATGACCATTTGAACTATTTTAATGTTCTTTTGAACTATTTTTTTTGTTTATTTCAACTACTTACGTGGTACCACGTGCAGTAGTTCAAACGAACAATAGTTCAAATGAACAATAGTTCAAACGGGAGTAGTTCAAATGAGATAGCATCCTCAACCAGGGTTCATATAGGATCGGGCGCGGAATTGCGCGGAATTTCGTGCATCGGAATTGGTTTCATATCTATGAATCAATAATTTTAACTGTTCGACTTACAGCTTTATGCAGCAGATACAAGAATGGAATTAAATATCTCTGTTGATTTTAAAATAATCGAGGTCCGAGTGTCACTTGTTTCAACAGTTTTCAAATTTTAAAGTTTCTTGCGGTTTAGCTCCTAATTAACAATTAAATATGATACGTTTTTCATTTGTTAACATTGGATAAACTTTAAAATGGAAAATTTTTTTGGTTAAAACTGTAAGGTTCGTTTAATCAAAATTAGATATTTTGCTACAGTGAGAGCCAGAAAACTATGGTACAGAAAGACAACATCACAGTGTATTTAATGTTATAGTTACAAGTCAAACAAAATTAATTAGTAACTTATTAAATCACTTATCCAGTTACATGGGTCTGCTTGAGTCTAAAATGACTTTCTGGTTATCAGGCTGCGAAGGAATATTATAACACAAAATATTAAGTTTAAATTCAATTTTCTTAGCATTTGAGACTGAAATGTTAGTGAAGTTCAGTTTATGGTATGCCACAGCCAAAGTTTAAATTGAATATTTTGTTGTTGAAAGGAATTACGCAATATTTAATTTTATTAAAAAATTGAAACACAACGCAAGAAAGTTGGACGGAATTGCGCGCTTTTACACACGAAATTTGCCGAAATATATTTCCATATGACTCTTCTGATCAGATGCTTTGTGCTAACTGCCGTGTTCTGGGGGGACGTAGGGGATAAGATAGACGACGATGTGCTTTCTTTTCCAGCAAGATAAATGTCGTTTCACTCCTTTTACAGCATTTAACTAACCCTAGCTGTCCTTTAAACTGCTCTTTAAATAGAACCAACTTGCTATCTCTAAGTGAGAAAGGGGGTTCAATACCCTTGTCTGCCTGCCCTGTTATGTATTTAAGGCTACAAACATACTAGGGTTCAATTCCCTTTTGGACTGAATCTGGATTGTTGGGCTTTATTCTTAGGTTGCATTTGTTAGGCATTTTTTCTCCAATTGGGAGTAATGAACTTATATGATACTATGTACATATGGATTAACCCTTCGTTGAGTTCACAATAGTACTTTACTGAATCACAGATTTTCTAGGAAATTTACCATTCTCCACCATCCCAACATAGTAAGGGGCATATTCAGAACTTATCAAATACAAAGAGTTGTATAATTTCATAGATAAAGTTAGTAAGGAATTGAGTCTTTGCCACAAACTCTACTTTTCTAAACCGTATATCTTTGGATTCCAATTTCGTAGACCTTAGATATTTCAAACTATGAATCCTGTTAGATCAAATGATATAAGTTTAAAATATCAAAGATGTATGACATTGGGTTCCAAAGACATAGGGATTATTTATTCAGAGTTTGTGGCAAAGACTGAATTTCTTTCTAGGGTTTAGACTGTCCGTGTCCACCCCACTCACTAATAAATCAATTAAATTATGTACAACAATATCACAGAGTTTATAGCTCATGGCTCAGATTCAGAAGGTTGAAAAATCCTAGTTCTACCCTCCCCGCCCTTGGACATGATGACACCCCTCAATCAGTTGTCTAATTAATTATCAACTACACAACTATAATGTATAACCCCGTTCCGCGGTATGCGCGCAACTTTTCATTTTTTATGCCTCGTGTATTTAGCTTTTTACAGAAGCAATACAAAATTTTCAATATGCTAAAACGGTTTTGTGTTAGGAATAGAAATTTTTTTTCTAAATTAAAAAAATTATGACATTTACCATTAACTATTAGATACTTGTGATAAGTTTCTCAAACTTTTAGAAGCTATGTATTCGACCTTTAGTAGATTTAGGTAAACATGATTTCAGAACTGGTTTATGTAAAATATGTTGAATCTATCGAACAAGATAGAAATGTTCATTTCAGAAATCTCAACAAGGAAATTGAGTGTTTGCCACAAACTCTTGTTTTCTAATTTCGAAATCTTTGCAACACAATGTCATAGACCTTTTATATTTCAATCTATAAATACTGTTCGATTAAATACACTAAGTTTGAAATTTCAGAGGTGTACATTATCAGGTTGCAAAGATATAAGGATTAAAAAATTGAATTTGTGGCAAAGACTCAATTTCTTTTGTGTCAAAATCATTTTCCCATAAATTAGGAAATAACAAACTCTTCTTAAATTACGATCAAGGTTAAAAGTGATAATTTTGTTTTAAACAATTTTGGTAATATTGAGTTTTCAACTATGATTAAATTCTTATGTACCGTCTAAAAACTATAATTATATATATTTTACTTTTATTTGTTTTTATAATAATAATTTACCATTTTACAAAATATATCTATACTAATAAAAACCAAATTTCTGTAAGGCCGGAAATTTGAAATCGATTGCCGGTTTCTAAATGGTAACGAATTACAATTTCTACTTTTAAGAATTATCGAAAATCCTCATTATTCCTTTTTACTCTAAAAACATTGAAATGCGAATTCAGTCATTGTTCAGGGTTTCATGATGATGATTGATGCTTTTAGCACTTTTAAAGTCGCTGGAAGTTTGTTGAAACCCTCTTTACACCATTTGCAAAATGCCAAAAATATTCTACGTTTTTTTGGCTAGTTGAAAATTCGGGTTTATAGCTCCTTAGTTTCGAAGAGCTTTTAAGTCTTGATTTCACATAAATTTCTCTAGAAGGGGATGGTCCATTTGATGTACTTACCCGTTTTGCCTATTGTCTGTATATACGGTAACTTGCTTAAGCTATAAATTAAGATTCAGACCGGTACTTGAAATGAACCGGAGTTTGTGTATTGTTATTACACGTGAGACAGTATTTATTTTGGTAAGGATTTTAATTATTCTTCCTTCTTTCAGGTAAAAATTACGAAAAAAATGAAGGATTAAATTTCTTAAATTTAAGCGAATCACAGTAAAAAACAAATGATTCCGCAAGTTAAAAATGTCAACATTTAATATTTTTATAAATGCACCAATTTAGGAACTAAAAAATTAGCGACTTTTAGAGCAATAACAGTCAAAAGCTAAAAAGTTTAAAATGAAAGGGTGTGATGAAGCGCCCTAAAAACCTAGTATTCGGAGTAATATCCTTTGCTATTATTTGAATACTTTTTTAATTCAAAATATTACGGAAAATGTTGAACATTTACAACAAAAATAAACCTAAGAAAAAAACTAATTTCAAATAAGAAACTTTTAACCCAGTGGATCCTAAAATTAAAAGTAATTGATTAAAAATATGTGATGATGATAATGTTACTTAATATTCAATATATTGCAATAAATAGCTGGCAATAGCATTAATAGCAACAGTTTTTACGGGTTTGTAAATCAAAGTGTCTTTTTATGAATTGGTGCAATGCAAAATAAAACTCAGTTCAATTAAAGCAGTAAAACTTACTGAATGCCATCGTTTCTTCTGAAAAGGTGTCACACTGGCTAAGCATGTTAAAGAATGCTTTTTTCGAGTCCTCTTTTTCGGGTTTTTTTTCTTCATTCTCCTTCTAAAAAATAACAGATTTGGTAAACTGTGTACATTAATTTTGGTTTTAAAAAACCTCATCCTGTGGTTTAGATTTTTGTCCTGCCCTCATTTTGTGTAGCTCGGGATACTTCTTCTCAAACTCTGGGTCCTCCATCACAGAGAGAAACTTTTTGAATTCACTTTCGCCTGTAATTAAAAAGATTAAATTAAATCAAATTATGAATATTAGGCTCCAAAGAAATAAAGAGATAAGAAATATAGACGGCTTTTGTTAATTTATCGAGAAAATTCAATAAATAAATTGTCTGAGTTTAGTTCCGGCCATATCTTAGTTTAGTTCCGGCCATATCTGAGTTTAGTTCCGGCCATATCTTAGTTTAGTTCCGGCCATATCTTAGTTTAGTTCCGGCCATATCTTATATGATAAAAACCCTTTATCAGCTTTTATTTTAGTGTGTGATGTCAAACTTCTATACAAAGGTCAATTAAAAATATTTAAATGCTATTTTTACTTTTTAACATCTTTTACTTTTTACTTTATTATCATACTTCCTGGACATGCTTCAGTACAGTCAATAACACCAAGCCCTCTGCAGCGTATGGGTGTATCACCACAGTTCAAGTTTCCCATTGTATTGCACGTAAACCCACTAGAAGCTAAAAATAAATAGAAATAAAATATAAAAATGAAGATAAACAAAACGCACAGAAAATTTAAAGAATATAGTGATAAAGTAAGAAAGTCTCCCAAAAAAATTGTAAAATGAAAATAATTAAACGCATTTTGTCGCAAAGGTCTTACTAATTAATCATGAATTCTTAATAGATAAATTTTGTACAATGTTAATGATCTTTATATGTACAAAGATTATTGGCGGCCGTCTGCATTAAATCAGGTAAAGTACGGTGGTAAGCGATTATATCACTACAATGAAGACGACTTTTAAAATTTAAGTTTTGATTGTTAACAACCTTTTTTCGACTTACAAGCTTACAAGTAATCAAAGAGAAGCTTTTTAAATTGATAAATTCTCTTGACTTCTATGTTATATCGTATACATTCTTTTTAACAGCTTGATATAAATCAAAATTGAAATCGAAAGTCTTCCTCATTGTATTGGTAAAATCGCCTACTATTATATGTTTTGCAATCAAGTGTGTATGTTAATCGAGTCTCTCCATGTGCACAATCAAATCACAACCATAATATTAATTGTTACTTTGCCCCCCTGAAAAAAATAGTATTACTGATTTGCTTACAACAACACAAAAAACTGACAAGATTCATTAAATGTCGTCTTCATATTCAACAGTTGGGGTTTAGGGGACCAAAATACGAAATCACTAGTTCCTAGTCGAACTAAACAAAAGTAAGATAACTTACACATTCCAGGATTTACGATTCCTTCCCCAGAGAACATACTACCGCCTGCCATAATCTATAAGGATATTTGTATTTAAATAATTATAATTGTTTTACAAATATTAATCAATATTAATCAATATTAACAAATATAATGTATTAAAATTATTTGTTTTCTGGACTGCAAAGAAAACTTCTTTGCATTTTCTAAAATTACTAATAAATCTTTTTGTAATTTTGCTTGAAACGTATTTAGTTAAAGAAAAAGTTTCTAATCTGATTTACCTTGGCAAAAAATGGATTATCTTTGAGTGGAAAGTTGAACAGTTCTCTGTACAGGCCTTTTGAAACACCCTGTCCTAAAAACAGAACGTTTAATACGGTGTTGCGACGTTCTAATAACAAATATTTTTTTTTGGGGGGGGGGAGAAAGCCCTTTTTTAGTATTACCTTCAGAAAGTTGAAAAAGAATTGGGATTAAAAACCACATTTTCGAACCCTTGTCTTCCTCAGTGACTAAACAAATATCATACAAAACTACAAGTTTTATCTCTGAAAAAAAGAATGTTTTCTCTGTACTGTAAATTTCTTATCATATATTTATTTAATTTCTAGACTTAAACCTTTGATAATTCAAACTTTGAATATTTGAGTTAACAGAAATCATGGTTTATGTATGCATGGTTACAAAGATAGCAAGATTAGGACTTCAGACTTGGAGTTTCTTTAAAGGATAATAAGCTAATATTAAGGATAAGTACAAAAACTAACATACTCCATATTCACAGATTCAAGCTGTTTCTTTTTATCATAGAAAAATGTATATCTGTTAAAATATGTTGGATCAAACTTTCCTAACTTTGCCCTACTTCAAGTGTGCATGTCTCTGATTTCTCTTATTTCTCTCTTTTCTCTCTGTGGTTAGTTTGTGCTCCTCCGTTGCTCTGGAAACGAGATCTATAGCGACTCACACAATCAAAATAATATTTTGTACAGAGTGTCCCACGAAACATGACAGTAGCAAGACGATTTGAAGTTCGTCCTTGATCGTAACATAATTTACAAATTTTATTCGTCAAACTAAACTTTAAAGGAAACTTCTAAAGTTAGTAATCACAACATAGCCCTATCTTGGCATTTCCAAAATGTGATCTGCCTTTTTTGTATCTCTTAATATCTCAGATAATATTTACGGCACAAAAAAGGCAGACCACATTTTGGAAATGCAAGGACTAAGAGATTTTTGTGGGTTTTGTTTCAAAGAATCATACATTTTAAGGTAAGTCGAAATCTAAATGTCACAAATAAATTCAATAGCAAAGACGACTTATAAGTCGTCTTGCTATTGTCATGTTTCGTCGGACACCTTGTAGCTATGAAGATATTTTTAAATCCCAAGAAAGTTTTTACTTGATATCTTTTTTGTCTTAAGAGAATTATTTTAAATCAGTAATTTTATTGTTCGGATGAAATGATTAGTTTATAGAAATAAATCAAACATTTTATTAAATTTACAACATAAAAAGATTGTAACATTTAGTTCTCTGATATCGTTACAATTCCAGACATAAATCCTAGGGAAATCGAGATCAACCCTTGCCCCCCTTCTTGAGGGTTCACTTTCATTCCCAGTACCAATTCATAATTTATCCAAACTTATCATATTATTATAATATATATCTCTCAGGGTCTTGAATAAGTGGGTTTATCAATCTACATTTTATTGGTACAAATATATCTGTTAACATCTATTCTTATTGAATCATATTCCATAGATCTGTAGAGTCCCTCAGCGGTAAAGCAAGTCTCCACTAAGCTCCTATATAGGAAGAGTCTCTCAGTCCCTCAGCTGTAAGGCAAGTCTCCACAGAGCTCCTAGAATAAGAGGAGTCCCTCAGCTGTAAGGCAAGTCTCCACAGAGCTCCTATTATAAGATGAGTCCCTCAGCTGTAAGGCAAGTCTCCACAGAGCTCCTATTATAACTCCACAGAGCTCCTATTATAAGAAGAGTCCCTCAGCTGTAAGGCAAGTCTCCACAGAGCTCCTATTATAAGAAGAGTCCCTCAGCGGTAACGCGTCTCCACAGAGCTCCTATTATAAGAAGAGTCCCTCAGCGGTAAAGCAAGTCTCCACAGAGCTCCTATTATAAGAAGAGTCCCTCAGCTGTAAGGCAAGTCTCCACCATGCTCCTATTATAAGAAGAGTCCCACAGCTGTAAGGCAAGTCTCAACAGAGCTCCTATATAGGAAGAGTCCCTCAGGAGTTCATCCAGTCCATTGTCTCCACTGGTGTGAATATGGTTGGCTCCAATAAAGGTGAGATTCTTCCAGTGATCCGTAATCCTCCGGATCTCTCTATCATATTATTAGTTCGGTAGATCCCATCCTCATAGATCCTCATGATCTCTTTTTCACCTGGATTCATTAGCCTGTATTGATCCTCTCCAGTGTTTCTAACCATAGAAACCCCTGGAATATTAGGGTGTGTAGGTAGTTGAACCAGTTGTATCGCAGTGGAACTACATTACTCTGATTCTATTATTTGTTCTACAGTTCCAGTGATCCTCTGAGTCTCCAGTGTTTCTAACCATAGAAACACCTGGAATATTAGAGGGTGTAAGTAGTTGAACCAGCTGTATCGGGGCTTGGAGGTCATTTTCAGGAGGTTTCAAATGTCTTTCGCGGGGCTCATTATGGCTCTGCACCCCCTCCATAGATGAGTAATTCATGATAAATTTTTTTCTTTCATAATATCAGTTGTTTAGTTGTTTTTCATCTGTGTTATTGTTACACACAAATTAGTTTTTAAGCAGTCCAAATACGTCACAGTAAAATGTATGAAAATCTTATCCCTCCCAACTTATAATATCTATAACAAATTGCACATTTAATCTAGCAGAAGAACAAAACAACCTTTCACTCTAACATGCTCAAATAGTAAATACACTAATTTATTTGGCTTGTTTTTGGGGTTCCCCTGTTTGAATGCAAAAACATAAAAATCGGGCCTAAATGAATTGAGTCTTTGTCTAAAACTCAATTTTTCCAATCCTATATCTTTGCAACCTTATTTGCATCAAAAATTTAGGGATTAAAGTTTGTAATTTTTAGAAATCGTTAAAAAAATTGAAAAAATCGGCGAAATTTTTAGCTTTAAATTTAGCTTTACAGTTTAGTCTGGAATGGATCGGCTGCTCTGTGTACCATTTTTAAGGTCCAGGATATAACCAAGAATACCAATTCCTTAGATCCACTATGCTATTGACATTAGGATGGACATACAAGAGCTCTAAGCCGTGTAACTGAAAAACAAATTAACAGTTACGGTTAGATTCATGTATTATATAAATACTAGGCTTTAAGGGCGCTTTGCCCCCATCTTCTTTTTCAATTGTGAACATGTTCCAACTTCAATGTGTTCCAAAGACTTTGCTAATTAAAGATAGCGCATCAGAAAATCTACGCAAATTTCAATGCATTTTCTCTGGTAGAAAGGATAGTAACTAATGTCGTCTTCTCCAGAAATCCAGTGTATATTTACCCTGTTGACGTTTCATAATGTCGTCTTTTGTAATGTATTAAATAGTTATTTAGAAACAAAACAAGGAAACAATTTTAGTTTTTCTATCTTAAAATATTTAATTTGTCCATAGTCCATAAAAGTGACTTGTAGAAAGAAAATGAACATAATTTACAGAATTCATCACTTTTTAAGTTGAAATAACGAGGATATCTTCCTCATTGTTACCCAGATAAATGTTTAAATGGTACCGTTGTTAATAGGACCTTTAATGGGTTGGTAACTTGAAATCACATCTATCAGTCCCTTAGAACATTTACTTTTGGTTTAAAGTATGTTTAGTGTTTATATGTCTCATATCTTTTATGCATGTAACCTTGTACTTTTTTACAGTAATCAATTATCTCATTACTTTTTCATTCAAGATTTCCCTCTCTACCTGATTTAAATGAATTATTGAAAAATAAAACGTCAAATATTTATTTAACAATGTAATAGTTTTTACACAATCGGGATCTTTCAGCGTAAGGAATTCATAAGATCCAATTAAAGAGCCTTCATTTAAACTTTTTTCTTTTTGGATCTGCTGGTATTGTAAACGCAGACTCTCCTATTCTTGGTTGGCTTGGTTGGGTATCATACATGTTACTTTGCCTGTCAGTGGCACCTACGAACCTAAATTTATCAAAATTATTCATTGAATTTGTATACATAAAACTCCGGAATTTGAAGACGAAATTTAGACAATCTGCATGTTCACTGTTCACTGCTCAATTGCAGTATTTTATGTTCATTGAACCATTTAATCAAAAATTAAGTCTTATAAAGTCGTCTTTATAATCCCCTAGTTTTATTTTCATCAAAGTATTTTTTTATTCCGCCTTCTTAAAATCCTCCATTAATTCATGCCTCAAACCTTTTGTAAACAACCTTAAAAGACTTCTAAGTAAAAGGTCGTCGTTTAATTCGTATTTTTAAAGAAACTTTCTGTGATATTTTTTTCTTTACCGGTAGATATTTTTTAAACAAAATAATAGTTTTGAGAAATACTTAAATTTGTTTTTTTATTGTATTTCACTGTTTAAGTATATCACAAAAACTATAATGTTTTGTGAATTGGTGGTAGTCTAATTAGATCTGTATATGATACACTTGTGCAATGATGTACAATTTGGCTTTCTATGTATAAAGCTTCAATAGTTTTGCACAAGTTCAGGAATTTGTGAAATTTAGAGAAACAAAATAAAAAGTCTAAATCTCAATAAAAATAGACTTTTTAACATAAATTGTAACATTAAAAACTTTATTATCATGTTAAGGTTTTTCGAAAAAAAAGGATTTCGGTTGATGTAAAAGCCAAATTTTTTTTTGGAATTGGCTTGCAGACTTTTCTGCAAATTAGGAGGTTCCGGAGGTCATGGATGCTCTGTACCCCCTCCCTTCGTCTTTATAATTAGCGAAGTCTTTGATGTGTTCTATGTGTGTGGGAGTCCGATTGTCATCATTATCACTCACAAGCAAGCAACAACTATTCCTTGTTCTAATCTAATCCTTTGAAATTCAACTTCCAACTAGTTTGTCTGTGATATTTGCAAACAAACACCAAACATTTGTACAGAGTACAAAGATACTTGCCGCAACTCTTTAAATCCAAATCAAGGATTTTAGTTTAAAAGTTGTTTAGATTTTAGTTCTTATTATTAAAGCTGCTCAGTTTTACAATTTCATTTAAAACTAAGGTTAAATATAAGATTTATCATACAACTTGGATAAAAGAATTCCTTCTTCCGTGATCCAACCTGAACAATAGAATGATAGTTGATCCATGAACACATAATAAAAAATTAACGGTGTAGTATAAACATAGAGAATAGAATATATATTAGAGGGGAATTTAAAGAATCTCTCGCTATGAATTTTTTCAGTCCCTTTCAGCCTGAAAGGGAGTTCAAAGTGTACAAATCATAAATCACAAAATATATGCATTAATACAGCATGTTCCCTAGACTATTCATTTCAATTTCGAATT